TTAGTGATTAAGATGTTCTAAAATGAAATTGTGATTCTTACACAACTATAAATACACTAAAACCCATTGATTTGTAAACTGAAGGTGTATAAATTGTGCAATATGTAGATTAAACTTATTAAAAGAAGAAAGAGTATTGCCTTGGACTTTCTAATGTAAAGTAGTGGGCAAAGTCTATAGTTATTAGCAGGTTCAAAGATATGGCAACCAATACTCTTTTCTTCTTGTTTGTTTACTGTTTTATATTTTATTATGGTTTTTATTAGTGCATTATAATCATACATATTATTTGGGTTCACTGTGACAAAATATTCATGTATGCACATATCATACTTTGTTCATTTCATTTTCCAGTACTTTCTGTTTTCCTTCTCTCCTCCTTCCCCCCATCCCCTTTCTCTACTCTTCCGTTTATAATTTATTTTAGTTGGTACATTACAGAGATTCATTGTGATATATTCATACATGAACATAGGATAATTTGATGAATTTTATTCCATATTTCTTCTCCTTTCCCATGTCTTCTCCCATTCCCTTGATTCCCTTTCTCTTCTCTACTATTCTCCCTCCTATTTTCATGAGACACCCTACACCCTTTTCTATAGATTCCCATTTCCTGTCTTTGTATGAGAGAAAACTTTTACCCTTGACTTTCTGAGTCTGGCTTATTTCACTTAGAATGATCATCTCCAGTTCTACCCATTTACCAACAAAGGACATATTATTGTTTGTTATGGCTGAGTGGAACTCCATTGTGTATATAAACTCCACATTTTCATTATCCATTCATTTGTTGACAGACACCTAGGCTGGTTCCATAACTTGGCCATTGTGAATTGCACTGCTACAAACATTGGAATGCATTTATTACTAGAGTATTTTTATTTCAGTTCTTTTGGATAAATATCAAGGAGTGGGATAGCTGGGTCCTGTGGTAATTCTATTCCTAGTCTTTTGTGGAACCTCTATACTGATTTCCATATTGGTTGTACTAATTTATAGTCACACTAACAATGTGTAAGTGTTCCTTTCTCCCCACATCCTCGTCAGCATTTATTATTATTTCTATTCCTGATGATTGTCTTTCTAACTAGCAGTCCACTAAAAATGTTGAACATTTGCTGGTCATTTGCATTTATTCTTTTGAAAACTGTTTGTTTAGTTCACTTCCCATTTATTGATTGGACTGATTGAGGTTTGTGTGGGTATGTGTGTATGTGAAGTTTTTTTAAGTTCATTATACTTTGGATATTAATCCTCTGTTAGAAGAATAGCTGGAAAAGATATTCTCCCATTCTATAATCTTCTCTGCATGCTCTTGTTTCCTTTGCTGTCAGAAGCTTTTAAATTTGATCCCATTCCACTTTTCAAGTTTATTTCTTGAGCTTCAGGGGTCTTACTAAGGAAGTCAGTGCCTGCATCTATATCTTAGAGTGTTGATCCTGTGTTTTCTTCTCGCAGTTGCAGTGTTTCCAGTCTAATTTCTAGGTCTTTGATCCAGTTTGAATTGAGTTTTGTGCAGAGTTATAGGTAGAGATCTAGTTTCATTCTTCCACATATGGATATCCAGTTTTCCCAGCACCATTTGTTTAAAAAGCTATGTTTTCTGCAATGTATATTTTTGGCAACTTTGTCAAAGATGAGATGGCTGTACATATGTAGATTTGTCTCTGTATTCTATCTGTTCCAGTTAGTTTTCATGTCTGCTTATATGCAAACATCATGCTGGTTTTGTTACTATAGCTCTGTAGTATAATTTGAGATTGGTTATTGTGATACTTTGATCCTTGTTCTTATTGTTTAGAATTGCTTTGTCTATTCTATGTCTTTTTTTCTTTCATAAAAATTTTAGGACCTTTTTTTTTCTAGTTTTGTGAAGAGTACCATTAGTATTTTGATGGAGATTCCATTGAATCTGTATTTCACTTTTGGTAGAATGGCCATTTTAACTATTAAATCTGTCAATCCAAGAACAGAACTATTAAATCTGTCCATTCTTCTAATGTCTTATCCCTTCTTGGTTAGATTTATTCTGAGGTTTTTGGTTTGGGGGCTTTTCTTTGGTGGGGTGTGGGGAATTGAGATTATTGTGAATAGAAGTGTTTTCCTGATTTCTTTTTCATCAGGTTCATTATTGGGATATAGAAAACTTCTTATATTTGAATGTTGGGGTTTTTTTATCCAGCTAATTTGCTGAATTTATCAGCTCTAGAAATCTGGTGGAGTTTTGGGGTCTTCTAAGTATAGATAAAATTATATCATTGGCAAACAAATAATTTGACTTCTGTTTGTATTCCTTAATTTTCTTCTCTTGCTTAATTGCTCTGACTGAATTTTCAAAGTATGCTGCCGCAGTCCGGCTGCAGCAAAATAACCGGGGGGTGACGAACAACTTGTGTACATTGATACAGCAGGAGTGGGAGCCGTTTATTCTAGGACAGGAGGGTTATATATACATTCCACACAGCTTATCTTAATTAACATAAACTAGATACAGCAGTCAACCAATAAGGAATCTCCACACTTAATGGCTTGCTGGCGTTACTTCACAAACCACTCCCTCTGGCAAAATGCCAGGCGCTATCTTGACTTGTTTACAGACCCTAACAGTATGCATTGAATAACAGTGGTGAAAGTGGACATCATAGACTTGTTTCTGATTTTAATAGAAATGCTTTCAGCTTTTTACTGTTCCATATTATGTTAGCTTTGTAGTTCTTATATATAGCATTTATGATGTCGAGGTAAGCTCCTTGTATCCCCTCTTTTTTCAGTGTTTATAACATGAATAGGTGCTGAATTTTCTCAGACTTTTCCAGCATCTGTTGAGATGATCATGTGATTTTTGTTCTTAATTCTATTTATATGATTAATTACATTTATTGATGTGCATGTGTTGAACCAACCTTGCATCCACGAGTGAAACCAACTTGTTCATGATGTACAGCTCAGCTCCCTGCCCCCAAGCATTATGTTAGATTGAACCCAGTGGCATTATACCACCAAGTTATCCCCCAACCCCTGTTATTTTTGAAACAAGGTCTTGTTTGTTAAATTGTTGAGGCTGCCTTCAAACTTGTAATCCTCCTGCTTTAGCCAAGACACTGGGATTTTGGGTGTGCACCACCACACATGGTCTGTACAGTCTTATCAGTGTATTTTTTGAATGTGGGTTGCTAATAACATTAAGGAGTTTTGCATCTATGTTCACCAGGGATATTAGTCTACAGTTTTCTTTCATTTTGTGTCCTTATCTGGTTTTGATATACGAGTGATAATGACTTTATAGTGTGCTACACACACACACACTAATAATAATAATAATAATAATAATAATAATAATAATAATAATTTGAGGAGGATTAGCTTTAGTTTTTCTTTGGGTCTTGTAGAGTTTATCTAAGAACCATCTGGTCCTGGGCTTTTCTTTGTTGAAAGTCTTTTTTATTACTGCTTCGGTATCATTGATGATTATTGGTGTGGTTGGGTTTATTCTATCCTCCTGATTTAATTTGGATAGGTCATATGTGTCTAAAACATTGCTAATATCTTCTAAATTTTTCAGTGTATTGGAATAAAAGGTTGCTATCTTAGAGAATGATGATACTGCCATTACCTAGGAGTTGTTTATGATTCTCATTTTCTTTCTCTGTGCATGCAGTCATCACAAAGTCACATAAGTCTACTTCATACCTTTAGTCTATCTTCTTTCCCTCTTTTGACTGTGCTGGTTCTATTATCCAGCCCAGTGGTTTTTGACCACACTATTAATATTAGTAAAATCCCATTGTTTGCAAGTGGTTTACCTTAAAATAAGATAAATCAAAACAACTAAAAAAAAAAAATCTTGTGTCACTTTCACTGTCTTGAATTCCACCCTACTTTTAGGATAGAAGAGAAAGCAGTAACATTACAGCTAGTGTGACAGGAAGTACCAGTAATTCTCAGGGCATCTGTTATGGTTGGATCTGGAATGTCACATAAAAGCTCATGTGTTGAAGACTCAGGTCCCAATGCAGCAATGTCCAGAGGTGGGACTTTTGGGAAGTGATTGCATCATGAGGGCTGTAACCTAGTCAGTGGATTAGCTAATTTGATGGATTAATAATTTGAATGGATTACTAGGAGGTAGTCTTAAAGGCAGATGGGGCCCTGATTAGAGGAAATAGGTTATCGGAGGCATGTCCTTGGGGAACTGTATATTGTCCCTGGCCCTTTCCTCACTGTGTTTCTTAGCTGCCATGAGCTGAGAAGTTTTCTGCCTTACCCTTCCACCATGAGGTTCTATCTCACCTCAAAATTTTTATATCTTTTTGACTGTAGAAGTCCTATAGCATAGTTGTGCATCCTCAATAAAATAGTAATATCTTACTTGGAGTAATACTTTCTCTAACTTTGTGTTGTGTTGTTGGTACTGGTGATTGAATCCAGGGGTGTTTCACTGAGCAACATCCCCAGTCCTCTGTTTTCATTTTGAGACAAGGTCTTGGTAAGTTGCTGATGGTCTAAGATGCTAAGACTGGCCTTAAACTTTGATCCTCTTGCTTCAGCCTTGCAAGTTACTGGGATTACGAGTGTGTGCCACTACACCTGGCCAACACTTTAATTTTAAGTAACATCGAAGTATATATTCTGAAAGTTGGGGAAAGAGAAGGGAGAAAATTAATATTTTATGAAAATGTTTTATGCCAGGTACTGGCCTGTGTGCTTGCCTGTGTTATGTATTTTCATTTTCTAACACCTCTGACACAGAAGTGTCCATCTTATAGGAAGGAGAAAACTGAGGTTAAGAGAAGTTGAGTTGATTGTATACTCCAACACACATAGATTCTAAAATTCAGAACCAGGGTTGGTTTGTCAGACTTTAAAGTTCATGAATCATTTCTAAATAATGTTGAAAATATAAGTTGAGAATGAATGCTAAGTATAGAAATAAATATGGTAAGGTCTTGAATTTAAAAACTTTAAATCATTTAAAAAGTTTATATCTTTTTTTTTAGGCAGTTATTTGGCAGAAAACTAGAGTATCAGACCACAAGATGGCTCTCATGTCAGTTCTGGGGACTGCTGTTATGGGAAACATGGAATCTTTTCATTACCACTCTGAAGAATCTCAGGTATATAACAATTATAGTAATTCTTTAAAAATTCCGATTTACCAATGAAATTATTAAAATATTTCCCTTTTGGGAAGGTGGGGTAGTTAGAAATTTTTCTTTAAACATTTTTATCAAATATATAAATAAGGCAAAAAAAATACATACAAAGCTAACTAACTATTCCTAGCTCTGTTTTCCTTTTATCTTTCCTTTTATCTGTTTGTTTCTTTCATTGATTTCTAGAAATTTTTTTCAATTTAGACACTTACCTTGTATTTACATTATGAAAGGTGAGCTTGCTTAGCCTTCCCTTTTCCCATGCTGCATATATACTCAAGACTGCAAATTCTTAGGATCTTCTCTTCATTTTTGTTCTGAAATATTTTTAGTTGTTGATAGACCTTTATTTTATTTATTTATTTTTTTGTGGTGCTGCGGATTGAACCCAGTGCGCTCTACCACTAAACCACAACCCCAATCACTTGTTCTTAAATTTTACAAGTATCTGTTTAGGTGTGTATCTTTTATTGTTCATTATTGTGTTGTGCACTTAACACTGATGTTTTTAATCTGCAGACTTGTTTCTTTCTTAGCCTGAGTTATAAATTTCCATTCATTATCACTCTTTTTTCTCTGTTTTTTAATGGAAATCCTTATTGATTACAACCTTCCCTTATTCCATCTTCTGTAAGTTTGGGGAGATCTTTTTGTATTTTTTAATTCTTCTATCTTTTTTTTTTAATTGTGTTTAATTCTAAGAGTATTTTTACTTTATTGCTCTTTTACAACTTACTGTTATGGGTACATAATTTGAATCTCTCTAAAGATACTAAGTTTTTGTTTTTAAAATATTTTTTCCTTAAATTATTTTTATTTATTAGAAGTCAGGTTTTGTTTTCCTTATCAGGTCTCTTTCCTCCAAACCTCTGATTCTCGTTCCTTGTCTTTCCTTTTGAGTAGGAAATCTAATTGGGAACTCAGTGTTTATGTCTGGGCTTATTGATTTTTTCAGGGTTCCCTTGAGTGTTATGTAATCAAGATCCTGTTCCTGTTCCTGGAAACTTGTAGATTCACAAATGCCATAATGGAATGAGGAGTTATTTTTCACACTGTCCTTACTCACTGACCTGGTGCTACTCAGGAAATTAATTACATCTCTCTTTCCTTTTTTACTTCTAGCAAAAGTTAGATTAATTGTGATTAGAGAAAAGTACTTTCATTTGCCCTTTGTTTGCTAATTTTAAGCCTGTAGGCTCTCTGGAGTTCTGCTTATGGCAACTGATGCAGGATGATAAAGGCACATCTAAATTCTTCTTAGTTCCCTGTGACTTTAGGGGATTATGTTGCCTGTGTGTCATCATGCTCTACATACTCTAGCTGTACCAGTTTTTGTCTCCAGACTACCGGTGTTGGTATCTCTTGGAAGATTGTTAGAAATAAAGAACGCCAGGCCCCAACCCAGATCTACTGAAAAAGAATTTGTATTTTCCAAGGTCATTAGGTATACATTCAAGTACAGAAGGCACTGATTCAGAGTTGGTCAGTTGTGCTTCCAGGTGTGCATAGGACTGTCACATGAGTTGGTCCTTCAGTTACAATTTTTTTCTCTAGAGTATTTTGAGATATGTTGCCAGATCTATGCTTGCCCATTGATATATTTTTTCTTTTCTCTTGACATAGAATTGCATAAAGACTCTTGGTAATCTATTATAGATACCAGATTTTTGCTATGCCCTCATGTGATTATTTTTGCAAGGAGTAATGGAAGAATTTGGAAAGCTTGTGTTCCTGTTGTATGGACTGTTCAAATAGTTAAACTTCGTCTATTTCTCTATTGAAAGTGACCATATAACCAAATTCCTTTTCTGTTCTTGTCTTCTGTGCCTAAACGGGTATATTTTTATTGCCACAAGTTACCTATCACCACTCTGTGCTTTACAGGCTTATACAACTGAAAAAGACTTGTTCAGTATCAGAGTTTCTTTGAGCCCCTTCTCATCCCTGGCCAAAAGTTGGTTTCCATCTGCTAGAAAATTTTGTTCACCTGGGTGGACAAAATTCATTAAACTGAGATGATAGGTCATTTGTTAGTTGGAAATGTTGGTCATAGATGATCTTTATACATCTCTTCCCTTATGTAAGGCTTATTTTTATCTACAGAGAGCTCACATGAGAAGAATCTCTTTATTCTGAATGATGATCTCAACTGAGCCACTACTGTGGCAGCCTTGGTTCGGTGTTTTCCAGCATGGCTTTGTTGGCCTGATGGAGCACCTCATATTATCCTTTTGTATATGTGTATGTGGTGCTGGGGATTGAACCCAGGGCTTTGTGCATGAGAGGCAAGCACTCTACCAACTGAGCTATATCTCCAACCCCATATTATCCTTCTTGACATCTGTCTTTTGGTATTTTTTTCTCTGCATTACTCCATGCTAACTTCTGAGTGAATTCTTCAATGTTGCTTTATTTTTGTTCCCAAAACCATTTATTTGTTTCCAGGATTCAGAATTTATTTATTTTCATATTCTTTTCTAAAACTGATTTGTAGCTGCCAATTTTAATTTATATACCTTTTATTTTTTAATAAATGCTATTTTTTTTTTTACTTTCTGAAAAGCATGCTAAACATACCAATTTCAGTCTTTTCCATTTTACTCTATTATTTGTTTTCCTGAAAATTCTCTCATTCTTTTCTATTGTATATGCTTTGAAACTTCAATTTTAGCAAGATCATTTTGAATACAGGTTTGTTTTTGTTGTTTTTTTCTCTCCCCACTTAACTCTCCTTTCCCTATTTGGCGGATATTTCTTGCCCAACCCCAGCTGAAAACCAGGTATGACATTAGTAGTTCATGCCTCTCATCCTGCCAGGATTTTACACTCTTTTTCCTAGCCAGTTTGGCTTAGCCTTCTTCCTGGTTTTGGAGTTGTCTCTGTTTTTTCCTGTGACCCTGGCGGGCAACTCCAGACAGTGGTCACAGTATTTTGAAGTTATTGTTTTTTTTTTGTTTTTAGGCAAGGTGCTAGATGAGCTCCCTATTTCAAACTGCAAGACTGGTTTCAGTTCTCTCCCTTGGATGGCGTTTTCTGCCCATATGTCATGATAGAATTTAATTTTCAAATCCATAATATTTTTGATTCACTTTTATATGGTTAGATCTTCAGAAATTATTTTAAAAATTGACTTTATCATTGCTATATAAGTTTGCAGTTGGGATGGGAGAGAAGGGAATTGCCACAAACTTGTTTTACCCTGAGCAGAATAATTTATTTTATAAATATAACTCCATAGTGTTATGGAATTTTACTGAAAGAAGAGAAAGATTAGGATTAGGTAACCAGTCACAATTGCACCATATAATTAGAATAGAGAAGAAGAGATGGGTTTGGCAGACTGTGTAAATAGCAGGCCCTTTATCATGGTAAAGGAATACAGGAAGAACCAGTTGGAAACCAGGGTAGATGTGGGATGAAACCGTTTGTAAAGTTTTGAATGTGATGAGATTGAGAATATCTTTATGACAACCAGTTGATATTAAGCATTCAGGATCGAAAGAAATAAGACTGTAATATCTATGTCAGCATCTCTGATTTATGGTTAGTTGTTAAAACTTTAGATGTGAATGAAATTATTCAGAGTAACTAGAGAGCAAGAAAAAAAGGGCCCGATGATGGAATTTAGATTGTTCATCATCATTTACAGGAGTTAAGGAAAAGAGACACCAGCAAACCAGACTGAGGTAAAGGTGTCAGAAAGGAAGCAGAAAGACTAAAAGGGAGTTGAAACAGGTTCATGCAGTGAAATGTTTCCTGAAGGAGAGAGTGGTTATTACTCTCCATAGAGAGTCAAATTAGAGGACTGGAGTTGGTCATTGAAGTAGAAGGCAGCTTATAGAAGGGATTGTAGAAGAAGAGAAACCCATAGTTGAGAAGCAATCAGGGGAGTGATATTTAACTGTAGTTTGCCTTCAATTTTTTAAGTTAAGATACAGAGTTTTCTTGTAAAGTCTGTCAAGTTTCTTATTTTGTTGCATGATTGGTTCTTTATGTTCTTATTCTATGAACTAGCCTGATTTTTAATTTTTATAGCATTTATAAGAGTTTGCTGTTTTATTTTACTTTTCCATATAACTTAAACATAATTGAATCTTAGAATTATCCTAATCATCCTAAACAATTTTTAAAGCTCAAAGTTTAGAAGTAATAGTAATTATACAAATGGTCAACTAAGATAATGTGAAAGAAAATCACTAGCAGTTATATACTTTTTTTATTATTTTCTTCTTTGTTCTTTCCTACTCATAGAAGGAGGTAGTTTTTTGGGTTTTGTTTTGTTTTGTTTTTTAAATCCACACAACCAATAAGTCTTTCAGAGGCTAAAGAGACTCTCTTCCTGATGCCCAGCATGTGCTTTAAGAAGGGTCTCATGTTACCTGGTAAGTTATACAACCATTTATAAATGCTGTGAAGTTTTACAGTTAATTAAGTGGTATCATTTTGTAATGGGTTATCCAGCATTATTAATTTATTTTTTAAATTGGCACAATTTGGCACTGTGACAATAATGCACTTAGTGTTCTAAAATTGGTAATGCATCTTCTTAAACACTTATTTCCAAGATGAGGGTTAGCCATGGACATAGGTGGCAGCCTACAGGCTGTGTTGGTAAGGAGGCTCATAGTTCCTGCTTAACTAAAAATAGCACACTACTGACATACTTGATTTCCTTAACCTAAACTAAATTTTAATATTAATGTTTCTTAGCAGATTAATGGCCCATCTAGTTCCAGTTGTTTTGGATAAAAGATTATGAGCCTATATTTTAAATAATTTGACCAAAATTACATAGATAGTAGTGGAGCTGGGGTTCAAATCTTGACAGTCTAGCTTTAACCTGTATTTTTAATTGTTCTCTATATTGTCTTTATATGTGTTAATTAGCTAAGGGTAAATGTAGGAGAATGTTCCCTGCCTTCCATCTTTTAAAGACTCCTCTCTTCTCTCTGGCTCTTTTCTAGTATCTTTTTTTCTCTCTCTTCTTCATATATTTGTAGAAGAAAGAAAGATAGCATATAAATTGTCAGCAAAACTTTTGTAGAAAAGTTCTCTAAGTAATGAAGATAAAGTACAACAGTGCAGGTTAGCCCCGAGTAAGTTTAAAAAAAAAAGTAGTTGTTTTTTTTTTTTAACTCAGAAATAAAGACCCAGTAAGATTGGCTATGTAGCAAACTCAGAATAAAGATAGAAATTGCTGCTGCTTTATGGGAAAAGGCAGTTAAAAAGAAAAAGACAAACAGCCAAAGAAAAGTTACAATGTGAGGAAAGAAATTTTTTAAAAAGATAAAATTGAGCAAAGAATACATTCTTATGGTCCTATTTTTAAAACTATGACCATTCATGAAGTTTTATAAATGGCAGTTTTTACTTAGAGTTGCAAAGAAACAACAAGGTGGGGACAGGAAGAAAGAAGTTCAGAAGATTATACAAAGGGGAATGGGGGCAAGGGAGGGAGGATGGGAATAGGTAAGACAGTGGAATGAATCTGACATAACTTTTCTATGTACATATATGAAAACACCACAGGGAATCTCATCATTGTATACATTACACAGGCTGGGATCCTAATTAGAATAAGATATACTCCATGTTTGTATAAACATGTCAAAATAGACTCTACTCTTACGCATAACTAAGAACAAATTTTTAAAAAGAGAGAGACAGAGAACACAAGTTTAATATGCTTCAGTACTTTACTTAAGGTTAATTCTTGAGATGTGGTTATCGGAAATAACATGGCTATTTAGACCTTAAGTTGAAAATCAATTTTTAAAAATTTTTTATCTCTTCTAATATGTTGTATATAGCCAGACCCTTGGAACTACATTATTGACATGGCATATTCTGTAATTATCTATTACAATTACAGATTTATCTAAGTGGATTCCTTCCAAAGCATGATGCGGACCACTCTTCCACAAGTCTTTCAACCCCAGAGAGGAGTTTCATCTTTATTAATAATAGACCAGTACATCAAAAAGACATATTAAAGGTAATCACTTTTATAAACAACTATCACTTGGATCAGCAATTAAGGGATAGCTCTGATATTTGTCAAATTGTTACAAAGGCCATTTCCAAAATAGGAAAAGGAAGTGATAAACAAATGCAGTATCATTTATTAAGCACAGTGCTAAGTATTTACATATAATGTCTTATTTACACTTCACAACAACTCTGAAATGCATTATTCTCTCCATTTATTGTGAGGAAACAAAAGTTAAATGACTTTTTAAAGGAAAATAGCCAGGAAGTCAGTGAGTTTTGATTTGAACTCTAGGCCTTCAAAACTTTTCATGACATCGTTTTTAATCATGATACCAGTTGCATTGGATGATTGTATTTCTTATGGATGCTGTGCTTCCTATAGGCTCAAGTCCTCCATGGGAGTGTTATTTAGATATTGCTTTTCCTAATAAGCAGTTAACCTCTACTCAGCTTCTCAGTTGAGTCTACTTCTCTTGGTAGTGTTTCAGGATTGGCAAAAATATCTGTATTTACATGGTACTTTTGTCTTTTATTCATTATATATATTCCAGTTAATCCGACATTATTATAATCTAAAGTGCCTAAAGGAATCTACTCGTTTATATCCCATTTTCTTCATGAAAATTGATGTTCCTACAGCCAATGTGGATGTAAATTTAACACCAGATAAAAGTCAAGTATTATTACAGAATAAGGTAACCTTTTTGATCATTTTTATATTTATGCTATTTATAAACATATGCAGTCCTCTTTTAATATTAAAAAACTTGCTTTTTTTCTTTTTTATTATTTTTAATCTTGAGTATTGTTTTAAAAATCTCCTCTAAAATTTGTTAATTTTTATTTTTAGGAATCTGTTTTAATTGCTCTTGAAAATCTGATGACAACTTGTTATGGACCTCTACCTAGTACAAATTCTTATGAAAATAATAAAACAGATGTTTCCTCAGCTGACATGGTTGTTAGTAAAACAGCAGAAACAGATGTGCTTTTTAATAAAATGGAATCATCTGGAAATAATTACCCAAATGTTGATACTTTGGCCATTCCTTTCCAAAATGATGTCCATAATGGTGAATCTAGAAAAAACCCTAATCATTGTTCAGATCACCAGATAAGTATTGATAAGCATTGTGATGATTTTAGTTCTGAAAATTACAGCATTAGTAAAGACCCAAGAAATACATTTCAAAAAATCTCATTGAATAATTTATTAGGGGAGGACAAGCAGAGTGAATGTAGTGAAACTTGTTTTGTAGGTTCTATTAAGCGTACCCAATTTGAAAATGGCAGTGAAGGCCATATTGATGAGAATGAGGAAAAAGAAGAGGAAGCAGTTTCTGAGAAGTCTTTGGAAATTTGTGCAGATGACTGGAGCAAGGGAAATGTACTTAAGAATTCAGAGGGAGAAAATATTGAACCTGTGAAAATTTTAGTGCCTCAAGAAAGTTTAGCATCTAAAGTAAGTAATAATAATCATCCAGGCCTTGAACAAAAGAACTCCAGTGATGATTCCTGTATCAAAAAATCAAATGTAATAGATAACAAATCTGGACAGCTTACAGCCTATGACTTAATTAGTAGTCGAGTAATCAAAAAACCCATGTCAGCAAGTGCCCTTTTTATTCAAGATCGACGTGCTCAGTTTCTCACACAAAATCCTAAGACTAATTTGGAGGATGCAACAATACAAATTGAAGAACTGTGGAAGACATTGAGTGAAGAGGAAAAACTGAAGTAAGTTTCCAGAGCTTACATGTGACCTGAATGCTCAGCTCTTTCCATTCTATATGACTCACTGGTTAAAAAAATTTTAGCTTATTAATTATGGAAAAGTAGAGTGGAAAATCTTTCTTGGTTTGGCTACAATATCTCATTGGTATCACTTGGTTGTTAATTTAGAGAGATTTTTTGCTTCAGTATTTTTGTGTTGTTTTGTAAGGGATTTTGTTTGGTATAAGCCATAACAACTTTTTAGTATTTATTAAGTTTGTTAAAGGTTTTCTATTCTTCTCAATGTAAAACAACCATTTTCTTCTGTTTCTTTTTTGATTCATGTTAAATAACTTTTCTGTTGCTGGAACATTTTTTAAAGTTTGTATTAGAACAGTTAAAACAATGATGTTTTTAATATCTTGACTGTTTCCCTTTTTTAAATTGGTCTCCAAAATGTGTAGCACAATACAAAAGAATTGTGCCATTGTTGCAGAATCTGGTTAGTGATATTAACACTGTCCCTGTTCAGTATAATTCAAGTCTTGCTTCTAAAATTTATTATTTATTTAGAGGAAACTTATAAACCATACAGGATGTTTTTTATATGTAAAAGGCAGTTTGCTCTATCTCTGATTAAAATATTACTTTTTTCTTTAGATCAGATGGTCAAAATAAATGTTCCTAAATAATATGATGGGTGTTTCTAATTGATTTATCACACTTAATATAAATACAAAATGTTTTGAAGAATCTGGTTCACCAGAAAATTAAAGAGTAGAATTATAGTCTTGATCATCTGTTATCTACAGTGTCTCAATGCTACATCAAATATCTGGAAACAAATTTTTAAATGTAATCCATATCCAGAGTATATTTCATAATAAACTACATGGATACTTAACCAGTTTTTTAATTTTTTCATTGCTCTGTTAATCTTACAAGGACACTGTCAATGCAGAATAATAAAGACCACTATTGATACCAATATGGAAAGCCTCCATAAATTAACTTTTCTCTTCCCTTTTTTTTTTTTTTTCTCTTTTTAAAGGGAGAGATGGTGGTTTTCTTTTGTTCCTTTTCAGGCATACGTAAAAATATGTTGCCCATTTCACGAGCCAATTCATATTCAGTTCTGCTTCATGCATACCTCTACTTACTTTTCTTCCTCCTCCTCTGTTATTCTGAAGCAGATCCTAGGCATAAGATGATCTATTTCATAAATATCTCAGCATGTGTCACTAAAAGGTCACATTCATATTTTAAACATAACTATAGTTGTCATAAAAAACATGGATTTCTTAATATATCAAATATTAATGTTCAAATTTATAATTATTTTTAAAATGTCAGATTTTTAGTTTATCTTGAATCATCGGGCAAATAAAGTTGACACAATTATGGTTTTCTTTAGTTTTACCTAAATGAAACAATTAGCAGTTTAAAGATGAGTATATTTTACTAAAACATCACACCATACCCCATAATTATGTATAATATGTAAATATTGTACATATTAAAATAGAAAAGATGATTATATTTAACTTTTAAGTACAGTAAACCCACTGAAGTTGAATTGTATTATCCACAGAGGTGATGAGTTGAGAATTGCCTCAGAATGGAAAAAAGCCATAGATGTTTTCACTTTTCAATGGAAGTAGGGACAGTCAGCTTAGAATGGTAATGTGTCAGGCTGACTGTTCTTGTAAATTATAATAGTGGGTATTATTTCAGTTGCTTTTTGGGGAATGTCCACGTTGTTTCTTCTTTGGGATCCCATGATATTAGATTACTGGGACTATGATTAATAGACTTCATCTAAAAATTTGTTATCATTAGTTAATATTCTGGAATCCAAAATTTTCTATCTTATATTGCCATCAGGTAGACAAACCAGGCACTGGTTTCAAGAGCAGGGAAACTACACCTCGGTTCTCAGTCATTCTGTGCAAGCTTTTGGTAAAAATGTCCGGACAGTCTCATGGACTGTTGTGAGGATTAAATAAGATAGTAAGATATAAGATCAATGACTGGTACATAAAAATGATTACTATGTTAATATAATCAGTTTTTAATCAGTGAAAGTTTTGAATTTATGAAAATGTCACTCTGTTGTGATTTTCACTTGCTAAATCAAGTGATTTAATTTGGACATTAGAAATAGAAATCTGTTAAGAAAATATAGGTATCTTGGAATTAGGTCTAATTGTATGTCAGAAAATGCAGTGAAATTTGTAATTATAATCTTTTAGAGCCAAAGGTCCTAAGACTACCATCAACTGAGTCCATAGTCATGGTAAGTAACAAGATAGAGTAAAAATGATACCACATCCAGGAATCACACTACCACACTACCTCTATCTAGTGAGGAAGATTTAATAAAACAAGTAGTAATCTTAAAATTTAGTGTGTTTTAAGATAAAGAAAATAGAGGGAGTGATGAAAACACTTAGCAGTTGGGCTTAATCTCATCTGAATTATTTTCCTAAATAGAAACTAACCAGAAAGGGTTTAGGGAATTGTCAACCTAGAAGGAACATGGTGTTATTGAGGAACTAAAAATTCCCTTTATGATAGGAACATGTGAAGAAATGTGGTAAAGAAAGATGGAGAAAGCAGAAGACAGATCGTGGAAGGTTCTGTAAGTTGAAGGACTAGGATCAGGGTTTTCCTGCTGTTAAGCTTCTGCTGAAAGCTTAGGAAAGATTTTGGAATAGGGGATACTTTTATTTTGTAATTTGTTTTTCTTAAAATTTTGCCACCTTGCTTTCCTTTCCTTTCTAGTAGAATTAGAATCCAGGGTTAAACAAAGTGCCCTGCCCTTGGGGTCTCAGTGAGTTGGTGTTAATTTGTACTTTTCATTTGTAGTAGATAGGAATGTATAACTAACAGTAACATTGCAATTGGGATATTATTGAAAATAATAAAATTTATATTAAATGTAATCTTTACTCTCAAAAACATTTGAATTGACTACTGGTCAAGTTATGGGGAATATTTTCCATTCAAGTTGCTAAGTCCCTTAATGACATTAAATACAAAGGTAGCAGCTGTTTTTACTTAACATTTACCTAATATTTCTTTGGACATAACTTTTTATATTTCCCAAGGAACTAATTAAATTGACTTCTTCAGTAAATCAAAGATTAGTACCATATGTGAAAATTTGCACATTTTAACTAATTACAAATGGTGACCTTTGTCTTGAACTCATTTTTCCACCACACAGGAAAAATCTTGAATTTTGAATGTCCAAGTGCTAAAAATACTTATTTCTAATACATGTTAAGTAAACTACTGAAAGTCATGTTGTTTATAAATAATCCAGAACTTCACGTTCTAAATATAAATGGGAGGAAATAACTTTTAAAAGTGTGAATATGCCATGGTAAGTAACCAAAAGAAAGATTTTTTTATCTAGTTCACAATTAATCAAGGTCCTTTTAAGCATTCTTATGCAACTAACATTTCTGTATTCAGCAAGTATGTACTGAGTACAAATTACATGCTCTTTTGTGGTCTCTTATCTAGATCTCTTAATCCCATTTTTTAAAAAATTTGAAACATGTTTTATGAACTATTAACTGAGATAATAGGATTAATGTTCTTTTGGCATATCTCTTAAAGTTTTTGATAAACATCACGACATCTAGTCATTTGTTAAGCCAACAAACATTTTATATTGCTTTCTGAGAAAGCTGTGGACCTGTGAAGGTGTGATACCATAAACTAGCCAATATGGCAGCTCTCTGATATCTATTCAAGATTTTTCTTAAAAATATTATGTGCATTTTACTTAGCATTCAGCCAGTTTATTCAGAGAAGGAGACCAATAAATAGCTTTAATTGTCTAGTCCCAAATTTAAAACGTAAAAAAAGTGTTTAACAAGGTTATTTAATACCAACCTTCAGTCATATGCCACATTCATTATAAGATTTGTGTTGCTGCCTCTTCATTTATTTACTTACTTTTGTATTTTTATTCCCCTCTTTCTGTTATAGAATCTTGTCTTAATCTTTGGTTTTTACCAATTTGATTCTAACATACTTAATTACGGATTTCATTGCATTTATCCTGCTTGGGATTTGTTGATTTTCTTGGATCTGTGAACTGTATTTCTTCAAATTGGCCAATTTTTAATCCCAATTTCCTCACAACTTCCCCCATTGTTTTCTTTTCCAGCTTTCTTTTTTTCATTTGGGAGTTGAGTTAATACATTAGAATGCTTGTTGTGTAGTTGGTCACTGAGGTGCTTTTCAGTCTTCAATCATTTCTCTCTCAGATCACTTCTATTGCTGTCTTCAAGTTCACTTCTTCTTTTCTGCTATCTCTGATCTCTTTTTGAGCCTACAGAGTGCATATTTCATTTCAGATTTTGTGTTTTTTAGTTGCAGAATTTCTATTTGGATTTCATTCTTTTTTATAATTTCCACTCTCTGTTGAGGTTACCCCTTCTGGTATCTCATTATGATCATCTTTAAATCCTGAACCACTTATTAAGAAGAAAGAAAGAAAAGAAAAACTAGTTTCAAATGTTTAAATCTTGAAATTGGCTTCTAACTGACCACTTTTTCCTCTTGACTATGATTCACATTTTCTGTTTTATTGCTTGAATGGTAACTTTTAATTGTATAATGGACATTGTGGGTAAGATATTGAAAACTCTGGATTCTGTTTTCTTCTAAAATGTGTTGATTTTTGTTCTACTGGATGTTTAAATTATGGATCACCTTGAGCTTATGTAAAGCTTTGTTTTATACTTTGGGAGATACTGTTAGGTTTTGCCCTTAGTTCTAGCTTCCTATTTTTGGGACATAGATTTAACCCCCAGATATAGCCCATTTCCAGTCATAATTGAAGCCCAGGGTGTTTACCAAGCCATAAAACCACATGTAATTCAAACTCTATTTCCCGTGCACTGGGCAGAAGCTGAAATCTCTGTTGAGCTCATTTAGCTTTCTGAGGGTTGTTTTCCTTTGGGCCTACCCAAATGGGATTTTGGGGGATTTTTCTCTGAATTTTAAGTTGTTCTAGAAACAAGTAGCTCTGTGTTGTAATAGCTCAAGCTAGTAAGCCTTCTAATTAAGTTCTTGCCACTACTCACCCCCCTAATGCTGGGGACTGCCCTCTGGGTAAGAGCTGTATAAATGTGTAAGTGTGAATCCATTCCAATTTCTGCCTGCTTTTGGCTGTTCTTCAGTGCCTATTTGAAATAGTTGATTTTTATATTTCATCTAGCATTTATTATAATTATACACAGAGGAGTTAGTCTAATACATGTTCCTTTGTCATTGTTGGACCTGGAATCTTTATTTTTTATAAAATTAATACATTTCTGATAATGACCTTATTAGTTCTGTTTTATCTCTATTCTTAGATATGAGGAAAAGGCTACTAAAGATTTGGAACGATACAATAGTCAAATGAAGAAAGCCATTGAACACGAGTCACAAATACTAAAAGATGGCAGAAAAAAGATAAAATCCACCAGCACATGGACTTTGGCACAGAAGCACAAGTTGAAAACCTCATTATCTAATCAACCAAAACTTGATGAGCTTTTTCAGTCCCAACCTGAAAAAAAAAGGAGTGAAAACATTAAAACAGTAAAGATTCCCTTTTCTGTGAAAAACTTAAAAATAAATTTTGAGAAACAAAAAAAAATTGACTTAGAAGAGGATGAACTTTGCTTGATCCACAATCTCAGGTTTCCTGATGCATGGCTAATTACATCCAAAACAGAAATAATGTTACTGAATCCATATAGAGTAGAAGAAGCCCTGCTATTTAAAAGACTTCTTGAGAATTATAAACTTCCTGCAGAACAACTGGAAAAGCCAATTATATTAACAGAGAGGTACGGTAATATAATTTTAAACTCAACATTTATTAATTCATACTGAATTAGGAATTACAGATAAAAAGTTGAAAGTGTTTTCTAGGTTAAGTGACATATTTTTAAATTTTCTAATTTTTAGTGGAATTAATTGCTTATAAATAATTTCCAAATATTCTAGATAGTTTACTTCTGCATTTAATTAAATATCAAGCTTGTTTTCCTTTATATTAGTGACTTCCCTAGGGTAATTTTGAAGTTAAGTTGTTGTGACTCTCTTTGATTTTGCACCATTGTAGCTTTCAGACATAGTCCAACATAGAATAATACAGTGAATGCCTTTATCAACAGTTATCAAGATATTACCACATTTGTATATCTGACCTTTTATACACACAGACACACATACACAATTTTCTTTCACTTGTTAAAAGTATTTGAAAATAATCCCTATGCTTTATTCTTTAGTATGTCTCTTAAAAATGTCTGTTTTCTTACCTAACTGCACCTTTTTTATACCTTAATACAATAATAATTCCTTGAAATTATTCCTCATTGCTTCAAAATGTCTTTTTTTATAGTTTTAAAATGCAAAATTTTATTTGTATCAACAAGATTCACAGTATATTTCATTATGTCTTCTAAATCCCTTAATATCATATTGCTGATTTCTTATTGGCCCTGAGTCACTTATTCAGTAGAATATTCTGTTATCTTATTTACTTCCTAGTGTATAACTTCTTTTACTCTCCCCATGTTTAATTGGTATTAGCTGAAGAAATGTGAATAGATTTAGATTCGACTTTTAGGTAAGACTTCTTAATAGATGGGGCTACGTGCTTGACATTTCATTACATTAAAAGGCATTTATTACTGGGTGCAGCTGATGACAGCCTGATCTTCCACCTTATAGTTCCTCATCTACCTTTCTCTCTAATGGTTTCATCTGTTGATTATTGCCCAAACTAATTTTATTTGTGTTTGTAAAATGGGATATTTCCTTTTTATATTCTTTATGAGCAAATTCCTTTCTGTAAAAATAAGAATAACTGACCTATTATCATAATATAATACATATATTGATATATATGTCATGTATACATATATATCATGTACAAAAGTGTATACATTACATAACATATAAGTATGATATAAAATAGGAATCATTCATAAAATGTGTTAAAAATCCTTGTTTAAGACACTTCCAGCGGAAGGGGAAAGAGCAGAGCCAGAACACAGAAAAACAAATCTACCTTTTTATAAGTAAGACAATAGTAACAACATTAACTATAATCCAATATATTTCATAGTATTTTTTATGATTAGCTTAGGAAACTGACAAAGGAAGAATTCGAAAACAGTGCCTTTTGTTGTTCTAAAACAGTTTAAAAACCTACTAATACTTTTATCATTGTTTCCTTAAAAAGAGTTAGGGTACATCTGAATTTTTAAACTTAGCTGCTTTTTTAAATGGTGCTTGTAAATTTTCATTTTTATTTCAAAAATCTGTTTGGGCTTATGCAAAGTACAGGTTTTTCAAATTACTTTGCTCTACAATATTCTGTTATTCAAAAAGAAGTACATTAAAAACTTATTTTGGGCCCATAATAATTTGAAAATATTTTTTTTTAATTGAGCATGGATAATAACAAAGTATAATTCAAAATTGCTTTCCCCTTTTTGGAAAAGTGTCATCTCCCCTCATAGTTACTGATGAAGATTTTTCAAAACTGAGTCATGGACTAATTACCCCATAATGCAGGGTAATTATTTATTGCATTCAGTTTTCTTATCAGAATTTTAATGCAAGTTGTGTAGCTTATCTCTAAGTGTAGTTAATTTAGATATCCATAAAGTACAAAGTAAGAGCTCATAATAATAATAATGACTAAGGTTTTTTGAACTCTTACTCTATGATAGAAATTTTGCTATCTCCTTTCATGATTTTTCGGGATTTTTTTTTTTTTTTTTTTTTTGCAGCAATCTTATGAGGTAAGTACTGTCATCCATATTTTATAGATACAGAAACTGAAACACACAACAGTTGTTAAATAACTTAACCTAGACTTACATGGCCAATAAATAAGCACTGGTTCTAAGATTCCACTGTAGACAGTTGCCTGCATGATTAATTGTCATACTCTGTCATTATTATCATCACCAGCTCTCTGATTGATTTTTGGAATATTGATTAGATGAGAAAAAGTACATATGATATTCTCCTCTGTGTGATATATCTACTCTCATAGCCAATGGATTTTTTTAACTGTTCAGAGCTGATAAGCAAAGACATTTGCTTGCTTTTTCAAAGGGTATAGGATTGTAATGAAACTGTATCATCCTGCACTATAATATAAAATATTTCTTTGCATATCTAAGACACTATCTACTGGATGGTGGGCATTCAAATGTTTATTGAATGAATGGGAAAATGGTCACTAGTCACATCATCTCCAACAGATACTTTGGTTGCAGTGATTTATGTTATGAGGCACCCTTATGCAGCCTGAAACCCATGTGAGGGATCAGTTTGTATCCTAGGTAATTTTTGGCTTTCTAAGTATTTTGTTTGGGGATTATACCGCTTAGAATCATCTCACATGCCACCTTTGGCAAACATGCCATGCTTACAGTAAGCTAAAGGAAGCTCTCCCAAGCTTTGAATTGATAAATTTATAAGTTCCTGCATGAAAAAAAATAAATGTATGTGTAATCTATGTTGGTGAAAAAACCTTGACTAGCAGTTGAAAATTTGACAGGGTGGACTGGCCACTTAAATAATTTCACAGTGTGTTAGTATCTCTTTTAACGGTATAAAAAAGTATTATTTATAAAGTTTTTATTGTGCTAGTAATTTTTTAAAATTTCACATTGAATTTGTGACATTTTAAAAGATAGGAATTTTCTTTTGTTTTTTCTTCCCTTCTGTATACTATATACAGTAGGTATCCTATAAAATATTTACAGAAATGTAGGCCTGGGATTGTAGCTTAGTGGTAGAGCACTTGCCTACCATGTGTGAGGCACAGGATTCGACCCTCATCATCACTACAAAAAAATAAACAAACAAAATAAAGGCATTGTGTCCATCTATAACTTAAAAAATACATTTAAAAAATAGTTACAGAAATGTAAAAATCTTTCTCATAGACCTACTTTTCCCTTTATATTTTGGTTAATAATACTTTGTAAAGATCTGTGGATTGACTTTTTTCCATAAATTTTCTCATTTACATCTTTATATTTAATAACTTAAAGGACCACAATTTCTTTTTCAGTCTTCTTAATGGATCTCATTATTTAGAGGTCTTATATAAAATGACAACAGATGACCAAAGATACAGTGGGTCAACTTACCTGTCTGATCCTCGTCTTACAGCAAATGGTTTCAAGATAAGATTGATATCAGGTATGATAATGTGATTTAATATTTCCTGATTTGGAAAAACAAACCTTGTTTCAAGAGTTATAGTTGGGTTTCATAATTTTCAGGTAACATTGTATATTTTTGTCTCACTAAGAGTCATTGTTGGCTCTCTGAAAACGACGTTTCAAGATCACCTCTGCCTGAAACAAGAAAGTTTGGCATCTCTTCCAGTTCAATACCTTGCATTTGCATTTTTCTAACTAATCAAATAATTTTTGCCATTGTATGACAGTATTCACACTGCCTTCTTTGTTTTCACTAATTATTAAAATATTTCTTTAGATGATAAAATAAATAAATATGTAGTCTATTGGCATGGCTTAATAAAAATGGGTATTTCCTTTTGGTTTTTTAGAAGCACTGCTTTACCATATAGATATGCAGCCTCAGCCATCTTAATACTTGGAGAGTGGATGGTGATTTGATTCCATGGATTTTGTAAAAGACTGATAATCCTCTTTGCTTACTATGTAAATTCATTGGGTAGATAGACAAAAAGAAAATTTATCTGTCTAAGGAGAATTCAGTTTTCCTTGCTGGCCCTTTCTCTGTTCTTTTATAGTTTCCATACTGAACTGAATTCTGCCCTAACCTCCCAGGAGGGTCTTATCCTATTACTTTCCCTTTATCTGGTGTCAAGGGCCACAAGGCACCATTAGGGATGACTCCAGCATCATCATTTTTGCCCCTAAACTTGTTGTACCCAAAGCCATGAAAGAAAGGTTTTTAAAGGAGAATTTTACTGAGTCACAAAAATAAAATAAAGATCATGTGCAAAAGCATGGAGCTGGGTATATAGAGAAAATGTTTTGATGTTCCAAGCTTGAAACTGTTTGATTTTTGCAGTTTTAAAGATAGCTATCCTGTAATCCCAGTGATTTGGGAGACTGAGGGAGAAGGATTACAAGTTCCACGCCAGCCTCAGAAACTCAGTGAGGCCATAAGCAACTTAGTAAGACAATGTCTTAAAATAAAAAATTTTAAAAAAGAAAAAAGAACTGGGAAAGTAGCTCAGAGGTCATAATGCCCCCCTGGGTTCAATCCCTAGTACCAAAAAAAAAAAAAAGAAAAAAGAAAGAAAAAATCTCAAAAAACCAATCTACTCAAAAGTTCATACTTCCCATCTCAATATTAGCTATTCAGAAATGGAGTGCAGATTATATATCCAAACCCCAACTCTGCTATTTTTGGAAAAATCATTTGGCCTTACAATTTCCTTATCAACAACAACTAATAATTTTTGAATGACTATTATGTGTAGAGTGCTATTCTAAGAGTATTGATTAAATGTATTAATTCATTTAATCTCTGTAACAGCCTATGAAGTAAGTTTTTTTTTTTTTCTGTCTCCATTTTAATATGGAAAAATCAAGGAATGGAGAAGTTAAGTTGCCCAAGACATAGTGGTAGAACCAGGATTTGAACCCATGCAGTCTACCTTCAGAACCTAGCTATTAATGAATTTGTTATATTGTCTTCCTATTACAATTGGGATATTTACAAAGTACTTGTGGGCACTGTAGTTGGGAATGGCATAGGTATTCAGATATTCTCTTTTCTTCCCATCATCTACTCCTGCTGTGAACTGCCTTGGAGTCATTTTTAGTTCTTCTAGAAATCTCTTCTTTGGAGTGCCTGGCATCTTTTTAATTTATTTGAAGTCTGAAGCAGAATTATATGTGTGTATAGAAGGTATTTTATTTCTAATCTGATTTTCTGCCTAGATAAGTGACACTAGTATCAGGCATCATTTTTTTCATGAAAAGTGTTATCAGTATATATTTTTTAAATAGTTAGGATAACTGTCCTGTTTCTTCTAAGAGCTTGTTCATTTTTGAGCTACCCAGTAAGTTTCTGTGTTACAGATGCTCTTAGGTCTTCACTTATCAGTAGTGGCTGTTAAATCCTATTGAATGCCAGGTGCTTTGCATGGCACCAAAGAAGCAAAAATGATTAAAATAATCACCTATAAACTGGCTTGATTTGATTGAAATTAATTTGACATAGATTATCATCAGCATTATTTCCTTTGTCAGTAACAGATCAAGTGAAAGGCATTCATGTTTTCATCATCATTTTGTCTCCCCCTGCTTTGTATTGTGTTGTATTTTTTAAAAAATATTTCTTTGTTATAGTTGGACACAATACCTTTATTTTATTTATTTATTTTTATGTGGTGCCGAGGATCGAACCCAGTGCCTCCCACATGAGAGGCAAGTGCTCTGCCACTGAGCCACAATCCCATCCCTGTATTGTGTTTTCTTAAGGACCATTTCTCTGTCATTTAATGAGAATTTTGTTACATTGTACTAATTTTGAATTGACATTTTGCCAGTTGTCACAAAACATCTTTGGATAAAAATTAAGGCTTTTGAAAGAGAAAGAATATATCTAGCTTTGAGGGAAAAAATTTTTAATGTAACCCTAAATAGTTGGCTTGTTGATGAGAACAGCTTTCTGTTCTGCTTATAAGAATTTCATACTTTAGGAAGTGAAAACTTATCAAACCATGTATTAATTTTCCCTGAAAATTGAGAAGCATTTCACAGGATTTTAGGGAAACTTATGTCTCTAAGTTTTCCATATTTGTATTTTGTAAACAGAGAAATTAAGTATTGCTCAATTTCCTCATTTGTGGCCAAATACTTTTAACCCATATCCATCAGGAATTCTGTAAAATGTGAATAGATTTCCAGGGCAAATTTAGTTAAGATTAGAGTTTTCAGTCTAATTATATTATAAAATTAGCAATAGGAAAAATTTTTTAAAACTTTTTTTTGGATATTTTCATTTCTATATAAATCTGTAAAAGAAGTGAGAACTAGAATATTCTGCTAGAACCTGTTTGCCTATCTGTATACTATTTCTAGTCCCATTTAAGTTCCCCTTGCTGCTCAAACTCCCTTTGAACTCTCTGTCTCATCCTTTAATGCTTGGTAGTGTATCATCTTATATTATTCTTCATTTATTACCTGGGAAAAACATTAGAATATCTGCTCTGTTTAGTGTGTTACCATTGCATCTACCATCCAGTTCAAGGAACTACTACACTGTAACAGAATAGGTTAGGGATTAGATTATTGAAGCTCAAGAATCTGAAACTCTTCCAGTTATATTACACTTCTTTTTTAAAATTAATTCATTGATAGCTACCACTTGCCCCAATTTAGACTTTTTCCTTCTAGTTAACATGTTATAGAGATCCATATTAAAAATATCATTACACAGACAGAACTAAATAAAAAGCATGTATTCTAAAGCCAAATATGATGCTTTGAAATATGTACTGTTATGAATTATCTACTCAGCTATACATCCAATCAGTCGTGTAGTTTTTATTTTAGTTTTAATTATGAAATTATTTAAAATAATTTAATAGATAACGTGTCTGTTTTACATATTTTTGTAAAATATTTTGAATAAGCATTAGTATTTCATTTCCTCAAATTAATAATATATTAATAATTTACTATGTGACTTTTTATGACTTGTAAGTTAAAATAATCACAGAAATAATTCAGATCTTTAACTTAGATATTAAAACTGTGGGATAGAACTTGAAGAGGAGCAGTTGCTAAAACACTTAAATCAGTTTTATTTTAATAAATATCATGGGACTTCATTTTCTCTCCAAAGTAAGAAATGTTCTAAGAAAATGTAAGGAGCAGACAGCAGTAACTGAGATTAAATTAAATTATATAAAGCACATGTGGTGTCAATGAGCTCTTATGACTTAATGTGAAATCCTATGGGAAATTACTGTTTGTTCTCCAACTTAGGAACAAAACTTTGTCCTGACTATTAAATTCTGATGAAGGTTAACTAAATGTTTTAACAGTGATTTTCTTTTTAATGACATGTTCTGGAATATAATTTTAACTAAACTAACTTGTGTCTATAATATGAATTTTTATTTTTTTCTTTTAGGTGTTTCCATTACTGAAAACCACTTAGAAATAGAAGGAATGGCTAATTGTCTTCCATTCTATGGAGTAATGGATTTAAAAGAAATTCTTAATGCTATATTAAACAAAGATGCAAAGGAAATTTATGAATGTAGACCTCGCAAAGTGATAAGTTATTTAGAGGTATGCATTATTAAATTATTAGGTTGGCTAGGTTTTAAGAAACTTAGTTATTCTTAATAAAATAATAAGTGGATTAAAGATAATAGTTTCTATAAGATTAATTTTTTGCAAGAAGAAAACACTATTTTTTTAAAAAAGACTTCATTAAAAGTTTTATGTAATAGGTAGGTTGTGGTGAACTCTCTATGGATATTTTCCTTGTAATATTTTCCTTGCGTACATATTGAGAAAGAGTCTCATGGATAAGATATTTTGTAGTGAAGTTCTATTTTTATTAGTATCCATAAATTATCTCCTTAGAATGAATACAGAATTGCTCAACCTTATACCATATGTTTTTTATTTTTCTTTATATTTTTTATTGTTTCTTTTTGGTTATACATAACAACAGGATTCATTTTGACATAATTTAAAAAGCATGGAATATAATTTGCCCAAATTCAGTCCCAGGTTTTTCTTTTCCCTCCCCTCCTCTCTGTCTCCCTTTTCCCTCTACTCTATTGATCTTTCTGCTATTTTACTTTAATTTTTCCTACTTTTTGATTAGTGTCTTGTGGATATATATGATGGTGCAATTCACTGTGGTATATTCATGTATGTACATCGGAAAGTTAGGTTAGATTTATTCTTCTGTTCTTGGCCTTATTCTGTCTCTTCTCCCTCCCCCTCAGTCTATTTCATCTAGCCTACTAGTCTTCCTTCTTTTTTGGTGGAATCCTACTTTTCCCTTTCACCCTTTTTTTCCCCCTCCTTTCTGACTATCTTCTGCATATCAGAGAAAACATTGCACCTTTGGCTTTCTGAGTCTGGCTTATTTCACTTAGTATGATAATTCCAGTTTATCCATTCACCAGCAAATACTATAATTTTATTCATATTTATGGCTGAGTAAGACTCCATTGTGTATTTATACCAAATTATCCATTGGTTGGTTCCATAGCTTGACAGTTGTGAATATGTTACTATAAACGTTTATATTGACTGTGTTACTATGTATGCTAATATTAGATCTTTTGGATATATATCATATTTGTCTAAAAAGATAAGCAAGTAAAAGGAGAACCACGAGATAGATGGATATTAAAGTCAAAGAAAGAAAGTCATTAAAAAATAAGAAATAGCGCATTCTGACTAAGGTAATAGTTCCTAAAAGACCCTCAGGTTTTGCTGCTAAGTGGCAGTGGTAATCTTGAAGACAGCCAAATTGGCAAAGTGGTAGGGATGTCTGACACTTGCCAGTGTCTACAGGTGGAATAGAGGTGGGAAAATAGGCAGTAAATCAGCTGATAGTGAAAGGAAGGAAAGAGTGTGCTTAACATGTTTGTGTCAAATTGGTGGAAAAGACAATAAAAGACTGGAGAGGAGAAGTCCTAAATGACACATGGATGAGGATGTAAGTTTTCAACAGGAGAAACTGAATCAAGAGCAAAAGAGGGGAAGAAGAGCGAAAATATTTTTAGGTATACTTGTATATTTAATATATAAAAGATAAGTTATCTGCTGTAAGTGAAGGGTTAGGAATTTAAGTACAATAGCAAAGATCTGAAAGCCAGAGCTTTAGGTACTATAAAAAGGTCAATGAAGGAGGAACAAGAAAATTTCCAGGTGTCATTGAGGACTTATAAGAGTTAACATTTATGTTGGAACCAGCTAGGACCACACTCTCCAACAGTGTGTAGTAGAATTTGTCCAAGGTTAGGGATTAGTAAAATGAATACAGTGAAAGACAGAAAATGAGTCAGACAAATCTGAACACATTATATATAAGAAACTGTTAGGTTGCTGAGCTAGTATCCTTAATATTTCATTTTGTATTCCTACCTTAGCGAGGGAAAGATGACTGAAGGGTGCTGGTGGATCAGGAAAATGAGACTGGAAATATTAAATGTCACAATGAAGGAAAAGAGCAGACTTAGTTGGAACAAAGGAATAGGTTGGAAAAGAGTTGGAAAAATAATGGGTGTGTGATAGTGGAGAATGTTAAAATTTAAGATCTCTAAAGTAGAATAATCTTTTTTAATCTTAAAAAGAAGCTAGCTTTGCTAACTATGCCCAAACCTATCTCAGAAATCAGCATTTTCATATCAGATCTGTGGACATTATCCCTAATTCTGCATGCCTCAAAACCAGTCCATCAGCAAGTCTTCTTGATTCTACTGTCAACTCATGTCAGAAATCTATCCCTCTCTCCATCTCAAACTGTTATCACTTATAGTCACAATTTCTCATCAGGACTGCGGTGATTGTCAGTGAAACCTCTTCTCTTCTTCACCTGCCTAAAACCATACTTTGCTCAGCAGCCAGTCAGTTTTAAAATGTGAAACACATGTTGACTTTTACTTTAAAACTCTTTGATTACTTACTGTGCATTCAGATTAAAATCCCATTTGTTCACTCCATTTTAGAGGTGATGTGCCCCTGCCTAACTCCCTTATCTTATTTGTCTGTTCCCTTTAATAACTATGTTGTACCCACACTGAACATGCTGTTCTCTTCTCCTTGCCTGTGATGCTTTCCTTTGCATCATGATCTTTGTAGCATAGTTTATTTAAATGGAAGCTTTAATGCCTTGTCAACTAAGCCATTCCCAACCACATAATTACTATGATGTTGCCTAGATCAATTTTGTGTATTATTTCCTCACCAAAATTTTGTCTTTTTTGTATTGTTTCCTGTGCTAGGAGATAAATTACACAAAAACAAGGATCTAATTTTTTCACCACTACTACCTCTTCAGAATCCACAACATAGTGTACTTAATAAATGTTGAGCAAATTAATAAGATGAAAATAATCAGTTATTTGTCTTCTTGTTAGCTTAACATATTTTCTGCATCAGGATATATCATTGTAAAGCATATATGACTTTCTTTTCACAGGGAGAAGCAGTGCGCCTATCTAGACAATTACCCATGTATTTATCAAAAGAGGACATCCAAGATATCATCTGTAGAATGAAGCAACAATTTGGAAATGAAATTAAAGGGTGTGTTCATGGTCGCCCATTTTTTCATCATTTAACGCATCTTCCACAACATCTTGATTAAATATGTTTAAGAAAATAAGTTACTGTTAAAATCAATATGTTCTTAAGACAAGTCCATTTCTAAACCATTTTTGTATTGTGTGTCAAATGGTTATTTTATAAATGAGGATTCACTGGCTTGTTTGTATAGAAAAAAGTTTCAAAAAATATAAAAATCTTAAATAAATATATATAAACTATTCATTTGATTCTCAAGACCAGCGTTCATAATAATTTTTAGATTCCACATTAGAAAATAAGTGATATTCCTGAGTGGTAGTTTTAGGTTAGCCCTGTGTAGGATCATTTCACACTCATTCCTCATATTACTCAGTGTATCTAAGAGAAATTGTCGATCCTGTTTAAAGTAGGATGGAGAGACAGGAGAGTTGAGAGAAAGTGATAAAATAAAGTTCGGTGGAAAAAAGAAAGAGTGTAACTAGAAATCCTATCACCTCCATCTTGGGAGTAACAAATTAGATATGCTCCCTCTTAGTCAGGATAATTATTGGACTTTGAAGTCAAATTTGTCAGAGAACATGGGAAGAGATCTAGATTTTTAACATAAAATTTAGGTTAAGATTTTTTTGTACATTTCTTCAAAAACTAGATCACACAGTGCTCCAATACATACTTTATAAAAAGTTGAAACATGATTTTTAGTATATTTGTTGTATAAAGTAAGATATGTTTTATTTGATACAGTGTCTCCGCACACCATGTTGCATAATTCTCATGGGTTGTTTTAAAATTCTCAAGACCCTTATGTTGAGATACAAATTGTATTACCTGGAATTATACCTACCCCAGCCTCCTCTTCTGCCAAAGTCATCCAGTTTCCCTGACCCAAATACTACCCCCTACCCCCTGTTACTCCTTTTATAAATTTGGTACATCTTCCTGGGAGTAATTCTCAGTAATTGAGTAGAGGGAAGAGCTGATCACTGAAAAACACAGGATGACAAAAATTACATTATACATTTGCGCCAGTCCTGAATATATATATTCCCCTCAATATAATTTGTATTGGTCCGACAATAACCTTTTTAATCTTCATAAAGGAATCCCAACTGCAGGTGCGATTGAGACTAATCCCATGCTAGTGTTCTTTACTGTTACACTGCCATGAGAAATAGGCCCTATTGAATCATCTGGGTCTACAAAGTACAGGCGTTTGGAGGTGAGGGGGAATATGAAAGGAAAGACTCCCTTGACTCCAACTTTGAGGAGTCCTTCTTTGAGTGGGTAGATTTGGGGCTGCAAGGTCTTCTGGGGAAGTCTGGTGTGGCAAAGGGGCCCCGCTGGGGCCGCTTCCACATTGATGGGCCTGCTGGCTCAGGCCTTAAAACCCTGTGGGCGCCCCTCCGCAAGACCCTGCCGTGCCCCTCCCGCCAGCACCACCCGCGGGGCAACATGGCCGGAGCAGGTGGTGATGGGGAGGCCCTGGCGCCAAGGATGGAGGTAACGGCCACCTGAGGACTGGTGGAGGTAGAGAGGGGACATCCAGGAAGACAAAAGCCTCTTTCTCAGCTGCAGGTCCTGTCTAGGCATTGGTGTTAGAGGACTTAGCCAGAGAAAAGCAGTACATGGAGACCAGACACCCAAGGTGCTGGGATCCTGGCCTGGGCTGAAGGCACAGCCGTCCAAGGCATGTGGAGATGAGGCCTGCAGGCCTCGCCTGGGCCCACGCATTATGGGAAATGTGGCCAAATGTGGCTGTGCATGGTGCAACCATGACTACAAAGTTTCACTTCATGTACTGGAAAATGTTAGGCCTGAATTCAGAAGGACAAAATTTTTGTTGTTTTTATTAGCTGTCTAATTCTTTTTGATTTTATCCAGATTTTGTGGCTGAGGTTGCAGTAATTAGAATTCACCTCACTGCAGCTTCATTTCTTAACTAAAAATGTAAATGTTACCCATTTTTCCCTCTACAAACATTTGACTCATCTCTTATTATATTTTTGCAAGATTCTCTTGGTCTCTTTTGGAAGGAGATTAGGGAGCCTGAGCTGCTTAAATAAACACAGGTTAGGGTCTACACTTAAGATTGAAAACAGGTTAACTCTTCTCAGTACCTGCTGCAAAGGAAACAATGCATAAGAGACATCCAAGTGTTGATCACTAACTTAACCAGGCAAATTAAAATACCAGGGATGATATTACAATGTTTAAATAACTGGACTTGTTCTTAAGAGTTGGAGTATTTAGGACAACCAGTGTTCATAGATTCATAGTGAGGAACAAGAATCTTTGAGGCTATCCAAGCAATTTTATACAGAAGAAAATATAAACCTAGAGTGATTAAATGATTTACCCGAATGCACACAGCTGTTTTAGTACTCCTTTAGTTCCATTTCAAATGTTAATATTACCATTAACAAAGAAAGGTAAGTACGGAAAAAAAATTTCACTCCAGAACCAAATACAAGATAACTTGAGATTGTCAACAACTTTCTCCCTTCAGAAACCTGAATAATCAAGAGCTGTTTATTATAAATCTTTTAGTAATCTCACCTAAACTTTAAAATTACTTAAAAGTCTTCACTGCTGCCTTGTGGTTGTTCTCTATGTTTAGTTGATTTGGAATCACAATTTTTGTTCCTCCTTAAATTACTACACATAAATATAAAGATCTTTTCTCTAACTTTGAAAATCTTGTCCCAGTGGTTATCAAAATTGAGAATACCAAAAAAAAAAAAAAAAAAAAAAAAAGAGGATACATCAGAATCACTGGGACAGTTTATTAAGAGAGATTGCTAGGCACTATGCCCAAAGTTCCTGATTCTGTGGATCTAGGAAAGGGCCCAAATTTTTCATTTCTGGCTAATTTTCAGGTGATGCTAATGCTACTAATCAAAGAACCACACATGGAAAATCACTACCCTATTCCATATATCAAAGTTTATCTAATAATCTGTAGTTCATTTTTTTAAGCCCATATATTTTTCTTTCTGACCCACTAAAGATCACCATGTTAATAAGCAAACAAAAAACAAAGGAGAAGAAGAAGAAAAGAAAGAAGGTGGGACTGGAAGAATAGGAAGTTAAGTGGATTAGACAAAGGGAGATGAAGAGAAGGGAAGGGGATAGGAATAGCAAATAGTGGAATGAATCTATCATGACTTACCTATGCACATATATGAATACGCCACAGTGAATCTTCACATCATGTACAGCCACAAGACTAGAATCCTAAATAGCATGAGACATGCTCGATGTTTGTATAACTATGTCAAAATAAACTACTGTCATGTATAACTAAAAAGAACAAATAGAGGGGCTGAGGTTGTGGCTCAGCGATAGAGTGCTTACTCTGCATGTGTGAGGCACTGGATTTGATTCTCAGCCCCACATGTAAATTAGTAAAATAAAGGTCCATTGACAACTAAAAAAATATTTTTTAAAAAAAGAACAAATAGAAAAGGAAAATACATATGCAAAAAAATGTATAAATTATACAAATTAAAAAAAAGAGACCTAATCCTGGCTGTGCTGTTATATCACTTCTTTATCTTTGAAATTAAGATGCTGAACATGGTCTCCAATTTTCTTTTTATTTTCTTGAATATTATCAGCAGAATCTGAAATAACCTTTTTTTCAATGAATTGTGTTCGCATTATTATCAACCATTCTTAATTTCCTCTGAAACTAGCTCACTTTTTCATAAAATCTTTTAAATTAATGAGTGGGGGGGGTGTCAATTTTTTTCATCCTGCTCAAGTTGTACTCAAAATCACAACAAATCCACCCATCTTTACTTTAGTTGTATATTGATTTCTTTATTTAGTGACATTTATTGAGTTTTACATTCAGTGCTGAATGAGAAGATATTCCTTGAGGGAACAAAATAATTATAATACTTTATGCTTAGTGTTATGATTATGGTTATGTAGTATATACTATAGACACACAAAGGTACCCAATTCCAATGTGGAGAAACCTGTAGAATAGTGAGCTGAGTCCTAACATTGATAAGGAATTTTTCAGAAAAGAAAGACGGAAAGAATTTTCGAGGCAGGAATAACATCATATAGCAGTGCATTCGTAAGCACAGGGAATGGAATAAATGGAAGTCGGATTACAATCATAGGTAGTAACTTGATCAGAAAAGGCCCTTAAGGATTTGTTGGGTTTTTTTTTCTTAAGGACTGTGAGAAGCTAATGAAATTTTTAAGCAAAGAAGTACAAAATAAAATTGCAAACATTTTAGCCAAAATATAAAAGCTGAGAGAGCCAAGTTACCAGGCTACTTAAAAATTCAATTTTTTATTTTTTTAAAAAATATATATTTAATTAGGTATATATGATAGCAGAATGCATTTTGATTCACTGTACACAATTGCAGCACAACTTTTCATTGTGTACACTATGTAGCATCATACTATATGTGCAGTCGTACGTGTACCTGGGGTAGTAATGTCCATCTGTTCCACCATGTTACCTGCCTTCACACCCCCTCCCATCTCCTTCCTCTCTTTTGCCCAAAGTTAAATTTAGACAATTTGATCCAAAGAGAATGGGATAAAAGCTCTGTTAATAAATAGAGAAAGTCAAGAGTTATGGAGGCCTTCATTGCCTTGAGAAGTTTCAGTTTAGATCCCATGGGATCCTATCATAATAAAATTAAAGCAGAAAAGAGATCTTTTCTCCATCTGACAGCAGATTACTAGAATAAGGGCTTATTTGCCTTTCTTTTGTACATTAGGAAGTTGGTAGTTTAGATAATCTTTATAAATTCTGCACAGACTAGAAAATCCACACAGTATCCCCTTTTTTAAAAAAAATTACTAAATCAGTGTTTAAATTTTAATCTGGGTTGTGTCTGGGGCTTTTTAAAGTCAACTAAATTTTCTAGTTGTTTATTAAATGCAATAGTTTTTAAGTATTTTAATTGTATTTTTAAAATTTAGATCATAGAAATGAATGATGAGTTAAGAAGAAACAGGCAAGAAATTGTGAATGGACTGAACATATTTTTGGAAGAAAGTGGTATGTTTTCACAAGTTAATTTGCTATTATTTCTTTTAAAATGACATTTTTATTTTTAAACATGCTTTCATTTTATTTAGAGACATTGGTAAATTACAGCAAGTTTACTTGTAAGACAGAAATACTATAATGCCAAATCCATTTTATGTATTTCACTAATAACAATAGGGGAAAAATCCATGTATTTTTACATATAAATCACTAAATATATGTAAGAAACTTATTATCTATTTTGAAATTCTTTGCACATTTAAAAAAAATATTTTCCTCTTAGTTTTCTTGGTAATGTAAAAATTTGTTAATACTAAGTATTTCCCCCCATGTGTAGTGATGACCCTTGATCCCAGATGAAAACAAGATTTTCCACCATACATGGATTTTAAATTATCAGAGATTGCATTGGAGCAATAAAATTTTAGCTATTTTTCCCAGCTACTTTCCCCATGAAAAACAAAAATAAAATGTGTAAACCCACTCTGCCTCCAAAGATGGAAGAATACTTCATATATTCTAGATTTCTTTAGATGACAAGTTTGAGTATATTCTGTGTGTACTAGCATGTGGCCTAAGTAATGCATCTCAAACTTTGATGTGCATATGAGTTTGTCTTGGCATGTTCTCATTAAGTAGATCTGGTGTAGGGTCTGATATTCTGCATTTCAGACAAATTCCCAGGTGATGCTGATGTTGCTGGTTTGGGAATCACACTTGTTTCGCAAGATTGCACATAATCCTTTGACTAAATGCCAGGTTCTTGAAATAAACATACATTTTAAAAAAATATAGATAGACACAATACCTTTATTTATTTATTAATATTTTTTAGTTATTGATAGACCTTTATTATTTATTTATATGCCGTGCTGAGAATCAAACCCAGTGCCTCTACCACTAAGCCACAACCCCATCCTCTTTGATTTATTTTTATGTGGTGCTGAGGATCGAACCCAGTGCTTCACAAGTGCTAGGCAAGCACTCTACTACTGATCTACAACTCCAGCCCTAAACATGTATTTTAACTGCAAATATATATTGAAAATCAGATAATCAGATTTATGATCTATTTAGGATCTCCATTCTCTTTAGGATCTTCAATCTCAATGTAGTTTGGATTTGCATTTTCCTGATTGATAGGGATGTTGAACATATTTTTATATATTTCTTGGCCATTTGAAGTCTTCTTTTGAGAATATTTAGTTCTTTTGCCTGTTTATTAATTGGATTACTTGTTTTTTATTTGGTTTGGATTGGTGTTCCATTTTTTGAGTTCTTTATATATTCTGGATATTAATCTCCTGTCAGAGGAGTAGGTAGCAAAGATTTTCTCCCATTCTATAGCTCTCTTCCCATTCATTTCCTTTGCTGTGTAGATGCTATTTAATTGATTCTATCACATTTACTAATTCTCGACTTTATTTCTTAACCTATAGGAGCCTTGTTAAGGAAGTCATTGCTAATGCCAATGTTGGAGTGTTGAACCTGTGTTCTTCTAGCAATGCAAAGTTTCTGGTGTAATTCCTAGGTCTTTGATCCACTTTGAGTTGACTTTTGTCCAGGGTGAAACATAGGGATCTAGTTTCATTTTTCTACATATGGATATCTAGTTTTCTCAGCACCCTTTATTTAAAAAGGTATCTTTCCTTCAACATGTTTTTGGTACCTTTGTCAAGTATCAGATGACTGTATCTATGTGAATTTCTCTGTGTCTTCTATTCTGTTCCAGTGGTCTTCGTATCTGTTTTGGTGCCAATACCATGCTGTTACTATAGCTCTTTAGTATAAATTGAGGTCTGTTATTATTAATGCCTTCAAGATCACTCTTCTTGCTTAGAATTGTTTTGCCTATTAAGGACTGTTTTCTCTAGATCTGTGAAGAATGTCATTGTTATTTTGATAGGGATTTTATTGAATCTGTATAACATTTTTTGTAGTATGGGCATTTTGATAATATTAATTCTGCCTAACCAAGAAGAAAAGTTCTTTCCATCTTCTAAGATCTTCATTTTCTTTCTTCAGCATTCTGTAGTTTTCACTGTAGACATCTTTCACCTCTTTGATTAGATTTATTCCCAAGTATTTTATTTTTAAAGTTATTATGAATGGAGTAGTTTTCTTGATTTCTTTCTCAGCAAATTTATTATTGAAATGTATAGGAAAGTTGTTTATTTTTATATATTTATCCCATATTTTGCTACTTTGAATTTATCAGCTCTACAAATCTTCTGGTAGAATATTTTGGGTTCTCTAGGTATAGGATCATGCTTTTATCAAATAGATAGTTTGACTTCTTCATTTTCTGTTTGTATTCACTTAATTTCCTTTTCTTGCATGATTTCTTTGGCTAGAGTTTCAAGAACTATGTTGAATAAGAGTGGTGAGAAAAACATCCTTTTCTTATTTCTGATTTTAGAGAAAGTGCTTTCAGATTTTTCCCATTCAGTGTGATATTAGCTTTGGGTTTGTCACAAACAGCCTTTATAATTGTTGAGCAAGTTCCTTCTATTTCTAGTTTCTCCACCATTTTTAACATGAATGAGTATCGAATTTTATCAGTCTTTTTCTGTATCTATTGAGATAATCTTGTGATTCTTGTCCTTAGTTCTATTTATGTGGTGAATTCCATTTATTGATTTGCATATGTTGATGCAAACTTGCATCCCTATGATGGAACCCACTTGATCATGGTGTACTATCTTCTTACTGTGGTTTTTAATATATTTTATTGGGGATTTTTAGTTATTGATTATTAAACAGTAGTTTCTTAGGGCACTCTTCTTTAAGCTTTACTTTTTTCTTTTTTCCATATTTTTATTGGTGCATTATAATTAATCATAAGAGTGGGATTCACTGTTACATATCTGTTCATGCACACAATATAACAATATAATCTGGTCAATATCATTTCCAAATATGAATTTACTTCCTTCAAAAGGAATGCTTTTAGTGTCATTTAAAAAAATATTCAGATGCTGGGGAGATAGCCCAGTGGTATAGCACCTGCCTAGCATTCATGATGCCTTGTGTTCAATCCCCATCACCACATAAAAAATAAAAACAACAACAATAAAAAAATGATATTTAAAAATATTCATTTACTCAGTATTTACCAAACATCTATCAAAAATACCCTAAGAGATTCCAGACACAGGGCAATTCAAAATTAAGTACAATGTAATCTCTGCCCTTGTGAATATTTTAGTCTATTAAGAGAGAAAAGTTCACAAATAACTATATTCAATTTGATAGTAAGTGAGAGGAATAAAAATGTAGAGGAGGGTCTGATTAAATATCAAATCACTTCAGCAAAGGATAGGGCTAGGGATGTAGCTCAGTGATAGAGTGCTTGCCAAGAGCCCTAAGTCTGATCCCTGGCACTGCCAACATAATAACAAAAAACAGTGAAGGATGGTCAACTTTCTGAAGCTGAAAGATTATTGTTGTTTTTAAATTAGAAACTGGAGAAGACATTCTACAGGGAGCAAAAGGATAGAGGGGAGAGAGATGAAACGTGTTCAGATTACCAGGGAAGCCCAGGTATAACATTCTTTCCATGAGGGAGAAATTCAAGCCAAGGTAGACGGCTTTGCAGTACTTACATATATAATTCATAAATTAAGGTAGTGATCCTAGAAATTGAAAGGAAGAAAACAGTACTAGAGATAGACTCAATAGGGATTTAGTGTATGCTTAAACATTTTTTGGAGGCATCACAGGCATTACAGGTGACTCAATTTGAATCTTATGTGCATGAATTCTAGTACCAGTGGGGAAGTCTATACTGTATATAAGGAAAGTGGTAGAAGGGTCTGGGTTCAATAGAAATAATTCTCTAAGGAAATGAGCCTATTTGCCATATGCATTTTTCCTTCTTACATTTGGTATTAGACCAAGAATGACTTTAGCTGTTGGTTTTAAAAATAAAAATTAGTGTGACTATTCATGTTTTGTAAAAACAGAATGTATACTTATATATTTACACCTGGAATCTTTGAAAGGTAAGCGAATTTGCAGCAGTTTATGGGTAAATAGAAATGATTTTTTTGTGTGTGTGGCTTTTCACTTTGTGGTTTCACCTCTTTTTTTTAAAATTTTTTATTGTTGGTTGTTCAAAACATTACATAGTTCTTGATATATCATATTTCACACTTTGATTCAAGTGGGTTATGAGCTCCCATTTTTACCCCATATACAGATTGCAGAATCACATCAGTTACACATCCATTGATTTACATATTGCCATACTAGTGTCTGTTGTGTTCTGCTGCCTTTCCTATCCTCTACTATCCCCCCTCCACTCCCCTCCCCTCCCCTCCCCTCCCCTCTTCTCTCTCTCTGCCCCCTCTACTGACATTCATTTGTCCCCCTTGTATTATTTTTCCCTTTCCCCTCACTTCCTCTTGTATGTACTTTTGTATAACTCTGAGGGTCTCCTTCCATTTCCATGCAATTTCCCTTCTCTCTCCCTTTCCCTCCCACCTCTCATCCCTGTTTAATGTTAATCTTCTTCTCATGCTCTTCGACCCTACTCTGTTCTTAGTTACTCTCCTTATATCAAAGAAGACATTTGGCATTTGTTTTTTAGGGATTGGCTAGCTTCATTTAGCATAATCTGCTCTAATGCCATCCATTTCCCTGTAAATTCTATGATTTTGTCATTTTTTAATGCAGAGTAATACTCCATTGTGTATAAATGCCACATTTTTTTTATCCATTCATCTATTGAAGGGCATCTAGGTTGGTTCCACAGTCTTGCTATTGTGAATTGTGCTGCTATGAACATCGATGTAGCAGTGTCCCTGTAGCATGTTCTTTTTAGGTCTTTAGGGAATAGACCAAGAAGGGGAATAGCTGGGTCAAATGGTGGCTCCATTCCCAGCTTTCCAAGAAATCTCCATACTGCTTTCCAAATTGGCTGCACCAATTTGCAGTCCCACCAGCAATGTACAAGTGTACCCTTTTCCCCACATCCTCGCCAGCACTTGTTGTTGTTTGACTTCATAATGGCTGCCAATCTAACTGGAGTGAGATGGTATCTTAGGGTGGTTTTGATTTGCATTTCTCTGACTGCTAGAGATGGTGATCATTTTTTCATGTACTTGTTGATTGACTGTATGTCCTCCTCTGAGAAGTGTCTGTTCAGGTCCTTGGCCCATTTGTTGATTGGGTTGTTTGTTCTCTTATTGTCTAATTTTTTGAGTTCTTTGTATACTCTGGATATTAGGGCTCTATCTGAAGTGTGAGGAGTAAAGATTTGTTCCCAGGATGTAGGCTCTCTATTTACTTCTCTTATTGTTTCTTTTGCTGAGAAAAAACTTTTTAGTTTGAGTAAGTCCTATTTGTTGATTCTAGTTATTAACTTTTGTGCTATGGGTGTCCTATTGAGGAATTTGGAGCCCGACCCCACAGTATGTAGATCATAGCCAACTTTTTCTTCTATCAGACGGCGCGTCTCTGATTTGATATCAAGCTCCTTGATCCATTTTGAATTCACTTTTGTGCATGGCGAGAGAAAGGGATTCAGTTTCATTTTGTTGCATATGGATTTCCAGTTTTCCCAGCACCATTTGTTGAAGATGCTATCCTTCCTCCATTGCATGCTTTTAGCCCCTTTATCAAATATAAGATAGTTGTAGTTTTGTGGATTGGTTTCTGTGTCCTCTATTCTGTACCATTGGTCCACCTGCCTGTTTTGGTACCAGTACCATGCTGTTTTTGTTACTATTGCTCTGTAGTATAGTTTGAAGTCTGGTATCGCTATACCGCCTGATTCACACTTCCTGCTTAGCATTGTTTTTGCTATTCTGGGTCTTTTATTTTTCCATATGAATTTCATGATTGCTTTCTCTATTTCTACAAGAAATGCCATTGGGATTTTGATTAGCATTGCATTAAACCTATAGAGAACTTTTGGTAATATTGCCATTTTGATGATGTTAGTTCTGCCTATCCATGAACAGGGTATATTTTTCCATCTTCTAAGATCTTCTTCTATTTCTCTCTTTAGGGTTCTGTAGTTTTCATTGTATAATTCTTTCACCTCTTTTGTTAGGTTGATTCCCAAGTATTTTATTTTTTTTGAAGATATTGTGAATGGAGTGGTTGTCCTCATTTCCAAGAAATGATTTTTTTAATATTTACTTTTTAGTTGTAGTTGGACACAGTACCTTTATTTATTTATTTTTATGTGGTGCTGAGGATCAAACCCAGGGCCTTTTATATGCTAGGTGAGCGCACTACTGCTGAGCCACAACCCCAACCCCTAGAAATTATTTTTTATATCATAATATATTTATGAAGAAATGGGTTAAATACCACTATGTATGAAATATTAATATAATTATATATATTGTTATATTACCACATATAGGATATATTATTATTTCTTAAGCATGTTTCTCAGTCCTTTTTTTCTAATGTGAAATTTTTTGGTGACTCTTCTTAAGTTGTGTCTTATAGAGTAGATATCTATAGATTTTTTTTCTGCTTTATCCATATCTTTTGGATGTAGAATTGATATCCACATCTTCAAATAAAATTTTTAAGTTCACAGAGCTCACTGAGTTTCAATGATGCTTGAAACTTCTTCATAAATTTTAGCTCTGTTTCTTCTCCTCTCCCTTTCTTTAAGTCTCCTCCAGACCATACCAGACAATTATGTTTTATTTATGAAATCCTGTTTCTACTTTTAGTTTTTATCTTACATTTGTTTCTTCTTCTTCTTCTTGTATATTATTATATATTAGACTATAAATATATTGTATTGTCATGAGCAACTAATTAAAAACATTTTTTAAAATATTTCATTATTACAATAACATTGTTGGATTATGTTATATATTAGTATATATTAATATTATTGGAATGCCTCAGATACTACATATAGTAATAACATAATTATATTATAAAATATACTACTATGCAAAGTATATTACTTTTTTATTTTTAAAAAATTTTAGTTGTCAATGGACCTTGATTTTTATTTATTTATATGTGGTGCTGAGAATTGAACCCAGTGCCTCACACATGCTATGCCAGTGCTCTACTTCTAAGCCACAGCTCCAGCCCACTTTATTATTTTTTATGCTTTAAAAAATCTACTTTTCTCAATGTGATATTTTTATAGTCTCTTAAATTGCCTGTAATAACTTCTTATTTATAATGTTAGGAAGGATTTGTGCTTTTCCTATAGTAGTGATTGATATTTTTAAAATGCAAAGACCATACTTAAAAACCACTTCATCAAAAGTATCAATTAAAATTTAGAGAATTTAGAATCAAATGTAAAATATTGTAGAATATTAAATACTAAAATATCCCAGTACTGAATTCTAGTTGATTGAAAGAACAACACTAATCAAAGAATATCTAAATAAGAAAAAGTGACTCAAATTTTATTTTTGAAATGGATGCACAATAGGTTACAATTAATGAATCAATAAAATGAGATCAAAACCAATAACATAGAAAAATATTCAAATAAAATGGTAAAGAAAAAATGGAAGAATACATAATGAAAATAATCTGATAAATTGGTAGTTAAATGTGTGGAAAAGATAAAATAATCTGAGTGGAGAGGAAGAAAGGAAGTGAATAGGAAGAAAGGACAAGGCTGGAGGGAACCTGTGTTGTATTTGCCACAAAAGTTCTTTCCTCACTTTCTGCTCTACTCACATTTTACATAGTTTAGATTCTGTACTAGCACTTAACCCTAATGTTTTGGTACTCTTAAAATAACCAGTGTCTCCAATTTTTGCCTTAAAACAAAACAAAACAAAACAAAACATTGAACTACTATACCCTAGCACTGGCATTTACCTTTCATTCAGTCACTGAGCTTGTGACTTCTTCTTACATAACTTCACCTCTTTTTATCATCTAACAGGACACCTAACCTAGAACGCAGTCTATAAATATCTATATATTTCAATGAAACATTTTGTTTAGCTCTGTTTCCCTTAAATTTTAGTTCCATACTTTTCAAAGAAAGGTAAGTCATGGGAAATAAGATTCATGGTTCATTTGGGAGCAAATCTTGACTTGAATATAAGACTAATAAAGATTTTCAACTTTAGTAAGAACAGATTAAAGGGTTTTTTTAAATAGGAAGATAATGTAGTCAAAGTATACATAAAGTGTACATTAGCAATATTAGTTTAAAATCATGTTTAAAATGAGTTGGAATGAATAGGAATGGAGGTGAGAAGTCAGTTTAAAAAATCATACCACTAAAATTCCATTTATGCTATGTCTAACTCTTTTAATCATCTAACATTTATTATATTGTTTCAACACAGAAGAAGAAGAAGTTTCTTTAGAAGAACTTGAAGAAGAATTTGACATTCTTGAGGTATCAAAATATATTATTTCTACCCATCACCCCCACCATTGTCTGGTTCTTATATTTGCAAGTAAAATGTGTTAATAACTTTATAAGGAGAACAAAGACAGTATTCAACAAGAATGTTGAGTTTATGAAATTCATGAAAAAAAGATGCTCTAAATTTATCTAAACTTATCTTGGCTTTCAGAACAGCAAATATTCTGATATTTGTCTGGAAGAAAAATGTATGTTTTTTGTTCTTTTTTGTGTTGTGGCTTTCTGGGTTTCTTATAGTTATTGTTGTCCCTTTGTTTTCTCCTGCATTACAAATGGACCTAAGTATTTCCAGAAACTAGGAGCTAAAGGAGAAGGAATCAGATAGGAATGATTTCTATCAATGCAAATGGTAGCAAGATGAATTTTCTCTTAAAGGGGAAAACTATGATGTGAGTAACTGAGATATCTGAATTATTAAAGAAATTAATTTCCCTAAATTAACTTTTATTTGATTGATTTTTAAGCAATTTTGGGATATATTTTTGCTATTTGGAGAAAACTACCTAGTCTGATCCTAATATTATATTTTTGTTTTCTCATAAAGGAGGAAGAAACAGAAACTATAAGTGAAGATGGTAGTTCAAAAGAAGCACATGATAAGTCAGTGAAATATACAAATTTATTTTAAATTTACAACTTTTATTAAAAATATAAGGCATATATATTCTAGATTTCAGAAGCAACAGTATAGTGTGATTTGAGACTGTGAGCATTGGAGCTGGCCAATTTCAAGATTCATTTTCAGTTCTATCCATACCAGTTATGTTACTGTAGACTATTTAACTTCTTTGTGTTCCTATATTATATAGGAATAATACCTATTTTGCAGAGGTTGTAAAGAGTGAGATAAAATGTAATTCAAGTAGTACTATGCCTAGGTCATAATCACATCGTTTATCTCTTTTTACCTATTTCTTTTTTTTTTCCAAAAGTTTTCAACTATTTCTTAAGGAAATTTTATAATTTAAAAGTAAAGCATCGTTTTGAATGTAGGGTCTATCACTGTATACATGAGTATAATGTATTTATCATTTTAATATGTTAGTCATCATGATAGTGTCTTAGAATCATATAGCATACTAATGATTATATAACTGACCAGAATTTGATACTGTTACAGTTCACTTTCTATTAAGCTAATAGAAGAAAACCATGTGTGTTAAAAATACTGTATTAGCTATCTTATGTAGTTCACTTTGGAATATGGATGTTTTATTCTAATTATTTACAACTCTTCAAAGAAAACAATAAGACGTTTTAAAGGTCTATCTCATGTAATTCTGGACATTTGTTGAATTTCTCTATCCCTTTCTTCTCAAATTTCTCTCTTACATGTCCATTCTGGAAACATATTCATCAACTTTCTGTGACACAGATTATCTTTTTATAGAAGATCTGAAAACTTTCACTATATGTTTACAAGGGGTGATATTTTTCTTTATTTCCTGCAACAAACAATTAATAAAAGCCCTTATTCCTGTGTCTCCTCGTTTTGAATAAACAAGAAGTCTTTAGTTCAGCAAAATGCTTTGAATAGGTAATGATGTTGAAGAATTTGAAAGTTATTTGTACCCAAGACATTTTACCAAATCCTCTTTAAAACTCAGAATTGAATGAAATAAAATAATTGAGGGTAGGAACATTAATGCTCTTGGGTGATTCAGGTTGATACTATAGCTAACATTCTTTGAAAATTTGCTATTTGCCAAATATGGTTCTAAGCCTTTTAGATATAACTCACCAATAGAGCAAGACATTACCTGCATTATAAGTGCAGCATATAGGTAATTTGAAATGAAAGTGAGAGCTGCTGCTTTAAAAAGAAATACAATGCTCCACAGACATTTTCCCAAAAACTTTCATCTTTCTCTTATGGACATACATTGTGCCCACATGCTTCTCTCCTCACGTGTTCCTTCAGTGTGGGTGTGCATGGTTTTAGTTTGAATGTACCTGTATACATATGATCACTCTTGCCCAAATCAAGAACATTAAAACCATTTTATGATTATCTTGTCAGTTCTATTCCTCAAAAACTCCTGAGTCTTCTTCTTCACTTCCCTCCTTCAAGCTCTAATTACTTCTGGCCTCAACCATTTAAAAAGTTGTCTAACTTAGTTTCTTTTCTTCTAGTTCTACCTGCTTCCTATCCATAACCCATATTGCTATCAAGAAACCTATGAAATGCAAATCTAATCAAATTACTGTCCTAAATTGATGTAGTTAAATATCTTAGCATGATATATCATGTATTTTATAGTCTGACCTCTAGGCATCTTTTCATCCTCATTTTCAAGAATTGTTTCCTCTTATACGTGAACTTTGCTTGCAGTTTTTAAAAACAAACCTTATTCTTTCCTGATTCTGTATATATCTCTTTTTAGGATATCTGTCTCCACTTTTCCCCTTCCTAATTCTTCTTATTCTGTGCCACCACAGTCCATGGCTGACCAGTAAACTTTTACTTACGTATAAGAATTATTATTAATTCTTGAGAATTCTTTTTGATTTCCCTGAGCAAATTGAGCACTCCTTCCTTTCTTGGTGTGTTTTCAAAATATCTCATACAATATTTTATTATCCACACTACATATCTTCACATTATACACCTTTTTATATATAATTCCACTCTGTGTGTATACTTTTTTCCAACATGATCACACTTGTTTCTACTACATAAAAATACATAGATTTATGAATGTGTAATATTTTTACATATAATATAATATATAAATAAACTATATGTGTTTGTCTTTCCCACTAGATGTTGATGCCTCGAAGGGCAAGGCTATCTTTTGATTATATTTTTATATCCCTTACCACCTCCTGGTATGTTTGAGTCATGAAATAAAATTTTGCTCATTCATTCAACGTATATTTTTTAGGGCTTGCTCTTTTGTACTAGGAGCTGTTCTAGATCCTGGAAAAATAAAGAGTACAAATCATGTCAAGGTCATGGCCTTTATAGACTATATATTCTGGGTTTAGTGGTTATATTAATTAATTAATATAAACTTCCTAAGCACACTCTTGATATATAGAAAATATGTAATGAAGCAGTCTGTTTTCTGTGGGATCATTTGCTTATATTTCTCAAAATATTAATCTCAATTATCATTCTAAACAATTATCTGAACTGATGCTATTGTTGTATTTTCTTTTTTGTAGCATAAGAACACCTCAAAAAGTATCCCTCAGGAGTATCTCATCAATGACAGATGAAGAGGTTAGGATTAAATTAATTAATTTGTCGACTTTTATGGATTTAATGACCAAAAAGTAAAATATTATTAATTCCTAAAAAATAGTTCTTTAATAATTTAATTGTCATGACATTTTTCTTAAGTCCCTAAATCTCTTCTATACATTCATATTTGTATGTGTATTCCTAAGTATTATGTGATGTGTCATAATATGAGAATAGCCTCAAGCTATAAATATAGTTAAGAGTAGTATTATATACAACGGATTGGTAGCACCTTCTGGAAGCTGCTGGAAATTTGACTATTTCAAATATACAGAAGCTAACAAACATAGCTATATTTTTTTTAGATCCAAGGATTGAAAGTATAGTCTGTAGTCCAACAGTATTAGCACTACCTCCCCCTTGCCTCCAACTCTGTTGAATCATAATCTGAATTTTTACAAAATCCCATAGTTATTTACAACTTTACTGTAAATCTTTTTTTTAAGAATTAAAGACATATACAGCTAAGCCTGTCCCTTCACCATTCTATTCGACCTCACTCCCTCTGTCTAATCCTGAGGTGCTAGTTGTCCTAAGATAGATATGTATCCTTCCTATCTGTATTTTTATCATATAAGTTTGTATCCCTAAATACACACACACACACACACACACACACACAGTTTTTAAACTTTATGTAAGTATATAAGTACAAAGTTTTTCCATGACTGTTTTCACTGAGCAGTATTTTTGAGGTTTATCTATTTTTGATATCTTAATCAAGAAATCCTTACCTTTGTGTTACCAAGAATTTTCTCTTTTATTTTCTTTTAATATATTTACTACTTTCTTTTTTCATATTTTTCAGAGACCCTAGACAATGGAGATGAATTGATTCAGGCTATTACAATAGGAATTATGTTCATTAAGAGAACTCAAGTTAGAGATGGAATTTTGTAAAGGCAGGTGAACTAAGGAGTCACTCATTGAGAAAGGGTGGAAATATGTCACATATAGGAATGTGTGTAAGCAAGGTAGCTCTTTGTAGTCCCTCAGACATAAAAGGGTTTTTACAGCTGTCACTGATTTCAGGGAACACAGAGTTCAGATAAAATTCAACATGATCACATTTAAGAATTAACTAATCTGTTTTTATTTTGTATATGGTATCTAATTAATACTTCTTCTTTATTATTACATGGATATAGTCAGTTTTCAGTTATCCTGATATAGTTACAGAGGTCATCTTTCTTCCACTAATTTCTGGATTCTCTATTTTATTGAAGTGTTCTGTTTGCCTAACCCAGAGTTACAACATTGTTTTTAATTATTTCAGTTTTATAAAATAAATCTGTTTTAAATTTAAACTGGAAAAAGCATCCAGTTGCTGAGTATGTATGCACAAATATATCTTCAATAGATCAAGCTTCTTAATTGTGGTGTTAATACAAGAAGCATATATGAACTTTTTTGTTTGTTTCTTTGTTCTGCTACTTTTTTAATACAGAGGAAGGTAGAAAATCTTCCAACTATGACTATTTTTTTTTCTTGTGGCTCTGTTAAGTTGCTATATTTTGATGCTATGTTATTAGATGCATACAAATTTAGAATTCTTGTAACTTGTTGATTAAAGCCCCATGTAATAACCTTCTTTAAAGTTTTAAATAAATTTTATCTTTAAATCTATTTCATTTGATATAAATATAGCTATATCAGCTTTCCATTTTGTTAATATTTGGCAGACATTTCCATCTTTTTTCTTTCAGCAATTCTGTATCCTCATGCTGAATTTTTACTGTTAAGTCTTATAATAATTAGAAAAATGTTCTTAATATTTGTAGTAACTATTGATTTGTTTACTATTTTCTATCTTATTTGTGTGTTTTCTGTTAGTCTCTCTGTCTCTGCCTCTCTATGTGTGTTTTTTTTTTCTTTTGACATATTTCTTTTCCTTGTTCCAATGGGAGATGTTTTCTTCTTGGTTACCTACTACTTTGAAAGTTAATTCTGTATTTTGAGGGAATTTTTCCCCCAAAGTTTATTTTAATGCTTCACGTATGTTTCTTAAGCCATTTTTTATTCTGGGCTAACCTCAGTGACTCAGTTTTTATAGATTAATGATAATTGGTATAAAATTCAGCAATTTATAAAATATTTTCGTATATATAATATATATGTATGTGTATATATATATGTATATATATATATATATATATAAACTAGCTTAATTCTGTCTTATATTTACTGTCATGGATTTCTTCGCTTCACATGCCTTTCTTGGAAAATTAATTCATATTTCTTTTTTTTCCTCTAAAGTTAGTTTTTTAAAAAATTTGTTCTAATTAGTTATACATGACAGTACAATGCATTTTGACACATCATAATTAAATGGAGTATAACTTCTCATTCTTCTGGTTGTACATAATGTAGAATCACATTAGTCATGTAATTACATATGTACATAGGGTAATAATGTCCGTTTCATTCTACTATCCTTCCTACCCCCACACCCTTCCCTGCAATTCACTCCCCTCTGCCTAATGCAAAGTATCACTGTTTTTCCCTGGCCACCCTCCCCATTGTGAATTAGCATCCGCAGATCAGAGAAAACATTTGGCCTTTTGGTTTTTTTGGGTTGGCTTATTTCCCTTAGCATGATAGTCCCAGCTTCATCCATTTACTGGTGAATGCCATAATTTCATTATTCTTTAAGGCTGAGTAATATTTCATTAAATATATATATATATATATATATATATATATATATATATTTATTTATTTATTTATTTATGATATATATTTGATATATATACCACATTTTCTTTATCCATTCATCTGTTGAACAGCACCTAGGTTGGTTCCATAGTTTTGCTATTGTGAATTGAGCTACTATAAACATTGATGTGGCTGTGTCACTATAGTATGCTGATTTTAAGTCCTTTGGACATAAACTAAGAGTGGGAGAACTGGGTCAGATGGAGGTTCCATTCCAAGTTTTCTGAGGAATCTCCATACTGCTTTCCAAAATGGTTGTACCAATTTGCAGTCCCACCAGCAATATATGAATATAACCTTTCCCCGACATTTTTGCCAACATTTGTTATTTGTATTCTTGATAATTGCTATTCTGACTGGAGTAAGATAAAATCTTACAGTAGTTTTGATTTGCATTTCTCTTATTGCTAGAGTTGTTTTTTAAGCCACCACATTATTATTTCCATTGAGATAGTTGGTTTCTGTATTGCCAGAAATGGATAAATTAAATTTTTTTCAGCCTTCATACTTTCTTGCTTTTTTGTTTTGTTTTTGGTACTGAGTATTGAACCCAGGGATGCTTTAACACTGAGCTATATCCCCAGCCTTTTTATTTTTTATTTTGATATAAGGCCTCACTAAGTTGCTTAGGGCCTCACTGAATTGCAAAAGTTGATCTTGAACTTGAAATCCTCCTACTTCAGCTTCCCGAGTTGCTGGGATTACAGGTGTGCCCCCCTATGCCCAGCCATACTTTCTTGATCCATGGTTTCTTTTAGGTTATTTGACAATGAATTTAAGACTTTTTTGCATAATTTTGAAATCTTGAAATATACTGTGACAGACACAATTGTGTGTGAGGGTGTGTATGTGTATGCGTGTTTGTTTATTTGTCCTTTCTATCCTGATTATATCAATGAGGAGTCTTCTGTGTTGTTGTTTTTTTTTCTTGATATATAATTCCTTTGGCTATCACCCTCTTTATCTCTCCTTTGTAACCTGTTATACTAAAAGCATTATCTATATTTTTTCTCTACTTTTAACTTTCCATTTGTTTTTAGATTAAATTATAAATTGTACAGTGTTGCTATTTTAGAAAAGATAGAACTATTGAAAACCAAAAACAGGAAAAAAAAAATCTAAATTCCTACCCAGGGCAATTTCTATCCTTTCAGATTTTTTTTTCTGTGTACCTACACAGTATTTGTGAAAATTAGCTTAGTATTAAACATGTTCACCTGTGTCTTGTTTTTCTGTTTATCAATTATTAATACATTTTCATGTCCGTAATTACAGATTTGAATCATCATGTTAACTATAGCATAGTATTTCATTATGTGGAAGTTAAACAGCATTGAATTATTACAGTTTAGTTTGTTTCCAGTTTTTTTTTTTTTAAGTTTGGGGTTTGGTTTTTTGTTTTGTTTATTCTTACAGTCTTTTAAGCTTATAAAATAATTTACTTATTCATATATTTTCAGAGACTTAATATGAGAATTAAGAAATTTGGTATAATTACAAATGAAGAATTCAGAAAATCATCAGGAACTTCTTGGTAATTCCTGCATTTCTCATTGAAGTTCCTTTTAAAATTTTAAATGCACAATTTGAAATATTTTTTAGTCATAAGTTTCTCATAGAGCTTTTCTTTTTTATTTTTTCTTTCAAGCATTGGATTCAATATGTCAACTGGTATGTACTATCATTATTCTAAGTATTACATAAGTTCTGTTAAACATGCATAGGACACAAATACCATCAATAAGTATGAGGTCTCAGAAATTATCATTCTTTGGTCACTCCATGTATAGAATTTTAAACAAAAACCAACACTTCAGTGTTCACTTGCCTCTTTTGATTTTTCATTATTTAAATTTTTTTGTTTTTTCCCAAGAGGGGAGGATAAAAATAAGGAAGCATATCTATTTTGTTGCAGAATGTGGCAGCATATGTTCCTTTCCTTTTAAGCAGTTTAAATAAAAATTGCCCTTTATTAATAATCTGATGATTATTAGAAAAGCTAAAGAGAAATAAACTATTTATTAGGAAGAAAAGAAATAATATGGATTAATAAGATATATATTAGGTAATATTTCAAAATATTTTTGTAGTATCAAATATAGAAAAAATCAGAATTGCAAACTAGAGAAATCATGGAACAGAAAAGAGTAAAATTTGTGTAAGAGCTACATACCTCACATAACTATACATTTTTCTAAACAATTTTTGGAAAGATATAAAGACTTTACAAAATGTTATTAGGTTTAATTTTAATTATAGTATAA